CTCCTCCAGGGAAAATGGGATCGTTTCTTCGACAGGGTGAAGGACAGGTCATCAAGGAGATAGTCATGGAGGACTGACTTCATCATTCTTCGGTTCAAGTACTTGGCTAATTCAGCTGCGTTCCGCTTGACGCCATCTTCGTCAAAAGCCGAGAGTAAGAACAGCTTTGGTTTTTCGATCAAGCTAGTGTATGTGGATGATGCGAATGTTGGTGATTCACAAAAGCCATCGCTTGTGGGTGTGTCCATAAAGGTATTACCATGTCCAGAGTGATCGCTGTCATCGAATGAATCCGTCACGAAATGGTTTGATTCCGTTCCTGTTCGACACAGGGCCAAGAGCCGGCTGTTGATTTTCTGTGTTGTAGGAACAGTGGATGTGGTGCGGTGGGCGCCTGTAAGGCGGTGGTCATTCAGATAGTGGTAGGCGTCATCAAGGATGCAGTGAGCATTGGTGCCACCAATTCCAAATGAGTTGACTGACACTCTTCGCAGGCCCGGAGATGGCCATGGAAGAGCCTCGGTAGGGAATGCAATATCGTACTCAGTTGCAGGAATAGAGGAATTTGTCTGCTTCATATCAAAGTTTGCAGGTATAATCCCAGACTCAAGTATTAGAATAGATTTGATGAGGCTTGCCACACCTGAGCCACCTTCCAGATGCCCAATGGAAGATTTGATCGCCCCGACGTAAAGCGGAGTCTCTCGGCGACATTTGAATGCTCTTGCAAGAGCGCCCGCTTCGATAGGGTCACCGGTGCTTGTTCCAGTGCCATGGGCTTCAACGAATCTTGTGTGTTCGAGGTCCAGGCCGGCTCTCCAGTAGACCTCACGGATTAGTCTTTCTTGGGCATCTGCGCTAGGAACTGTAATCCCTGGCGTGCGGCCATCCTGGTTGACTCCCGTCTCTCGAATGACCGCACGGATGGTATCTCCATCTCTGATAGCGACACTCAAAGGCTTCACTACAACTGTGCCCACGCCTTCGCCTCGCGCATAGCCTTCGGCACGGGAGTCGAAGCTGAAAGATCGCCCTTGAGGTCCCAACAAACCATGGTGACTCATGCCGATGGTTTCCGCGGGGTTTTCAAGAATGCTCACACCACTGACGACAGCCTTAAACGTTATCAGCATATTATCAGCATAGTATCAATATCAACACAAGGTATATGGTAACATACCATAATTGTCTCATTGGCACGTAAGCTCTGTACAGCGAGGTGCAGTGCCACCAAGCTACTAGAACAAGCCGTATCAATGGTCATGCTGGGTCCTCTGAAGTCAAAGAACCAACTGACACGGTTAGACAGAATGGCATTGGTGACACCGGTGGGTTTGTATTTCAAAGTGGTTTCTGGGTCTGAATTGAGGATACCTAGGTAGTCATGGTTGAATCCACTAACAAAAACCGATGTGTTAGAGCCAACAGCACTGGTCAATGGAATGCCAGCATTTTCCAAGGCATGGTAGACATTTTCGAGTACCAGCCGCTGCTGCGGATCCAATGTCAGGAGCTCATTCTTGGTAATATTGAAGAAGGAGCCATCGAAGTAGGCGGGGTCTTCTGAGAGGTAGTGACCTCCTTGGACATGAAACTAGACAGATATCTGTTAACCGATTATTCATGTTGATGTTGGTCTGTCATAGCTCGGGTATGACTTACCGTTCCACCATGCTCGGGATCTGGATGATAGAAGGCATCTGAGTTGAAGCGTTCTTTGGGTATCGATGACCACGTCGAGCGGGCCTGTAGGAGAAGCTCCCACAGACCCTCAGTGGTTGTTGCTTGCTTTGGAAAGTGGGTGGCTAGGCCAATGATAGCGATGGGTTCCAGAGCATCAGAAGGCATGGCTCCATCGCCACTGGAGCCTGTCTTCAGCGAGAGGGGACGCATCTTCCGATACAGATAAGATATCGTTAATATAGCAATAAGTCCGGGTCTAGAAGAGATGGAAGGTAGACGAAGAGTGAGGTATGAGGAAGAAGTATAAACAAGAAGGTATGAACACTGATGGGGTAAGAGATCAAGTAAAGATAGAGTGAGAATATAAGATAGCTGATGATTGAGACGAAAGAGAATTTTGATAGCAAACAAGAACCCATACCTCCTCTTCATATATCAACCTCGATGCGGAACCACGCCAATGAAGGCATACGAGGGAGCTCAAAGCACCATTGGAAACCCGAGATTGGCAGTCTGGCCGGTGGGTACGAATTTTTACTGATTTCGCGGGTTTCCTATTTTAGCTGTGTTCATTAAAATAGTGGATAGCACGCTTGTTGGTATATTTGGAAAATCAAGGGCTTTCATGCTTGCTATTCCTATATGTACCTTTGTATATACTTTTCCCAGTGAACCGCAAATCTATGCTATCTATAGGCATGATTGGCCTACACATAGATGTATTTTGGTAAGTATGATTTATTTGTGATGCTATCTTAAGTGAACCATTGTCATATGAATACCATCAGTTTCCTATACCAATAATGGGCGTATATACATATTTCCAGATATAGATGGTTACATATATACGAACCTTAGAGTACTACCGAACCAATAGGTTGGATGCAAGGCCATCAAATCAAATCCTAGACGCTAGGTCTACGCATTGCCGTTACCAGAGCCTGTAGGCTAACGTTTGTCGATCGCTATCAAATTCGGCATTTGGCTCTTTTCTTGCGTTGAAACGCTAAAATATGCACTGCTGATTGGTTATCCTGATACTAGGACTCTATAGATATGAGATTACCATTCGCCCGTTTGCCCTAGAAACTTCTGTGGAATATTAAGCCGTCTTACAGCATATTTTCCCTGTATTTCTGCAGGAGATCAGCCCCGGGTTAAAATGTACTTATAACATACACAGCATTCATAATTATAGTGAGACCCTTCGTCTATTCAAAGCTGTACAGTTAATCGTTCACAAAAAGGCAAGATGGGTATAAGTTGATGGATCTAATCTACTTTCACTTTAGGGAGCTAGCACAACCCTATTCTGTACTATACCCTTTAAATTGTAAATCTATCAAAGTACTAAATTGAAGCATGACATAGTAAATCAAATGATTATATTAGATCGTAAATCACCACAATCCCACACCGCAACCCGCTATAGCCGATATATCTGTTTGAACCCCCTCAGCCAGCCCCTTGGGTTTTACTAGTTAAGAAAAGAGATAACACACGGCAGTGTGGGCGAAGAACATGATTCCGTGGTTCACGAGCTCCACAACTGGAGCTTTTGAAGCAATATCCGTAGCTTTCTTTGATGCACTATGCACGGTACACGCCGCTCCACGAAAAGAGTTGCTACAACGCACTTGAATCCATCAAACTTTGGATATATCGACGTGATTGACCAATCCTTTTCTGACGGCATTGTCACTAGTGCTTCCGTATGCGCCCCTTTGCATTTCCTATCGTACTATGACACTATCCGAAGGCAAACCGCGTCTGTCCGGCCTAGATTCCGAATCCGCGTGCCATCCATCAGTCTCACCAAAGTCTGTTTATAGCTGCATCTAGGCACCTTCTCCTCAACGTGGACAGTATGTATTGGATATTTCCCCCATTTAGTCTCATTGCATATAGTGGGTTTTCCCAAATTAAAGATAGTGCATGATGCATACGCATACGACAACCGTCATACGGGGTACATATAGACCCACCAAGTTAGAGGCAGGGACTGCAGCTTGAAATACGATGCTGGCAAACCATTCACTAGCCCTATCAGATTGCACGAACTGTGTGTTGTAGTCTAATCTAGTCTACCTAAGGTTTGTAGATCCTCAGGTAGTTCGTACGAGGTGGCTGTGTCTATCCTTGCCTATATTGTAAGGCCATCCGATAGGTTGAAATCTCGGGTTGTAGCTGATTTTTAGGGATATTTACTTCGCATAGGGCGGGATGAGGCTTGTGGAGAATTCTCAATCGTTTCAACTTTTGGCTTTACGGGCGAAACTTTGACAGATTGATTACACTTTATTCCCATCCCTGACCCGTTTGGCGTGTTTCCATGGAGTACTAAGGGGATATGGATACTGAATCAGAGATCCTAGGTCTATTGTGTTAGTGAAGGGACAATGTATGTTTCGGTCCTTATTGAAACTCGTCCTGAAGATGTCCCCAAAGCAACAACACATAGGGCATAAAATGGGGCCCACGGAATTAGACTAAGGAATTTTATGAAATAACCCAAATCTGATGCAATAAATAGGAACAGCCAACTCTCCAAAGCCCAAACAGAGCCTGTACCCGCGAAGTGGATGCTTGCACATGGAGAGAGCACCTAGCCGAACCTTCAAACGAACATCCGACACATTGATATCAGTCACATTGAACACGAACATGAAATGACGGTCAAGGAAGTGGAATTTGTGTAGTCCGAGGTAAACTAAGCTCATTCGCTACAACCTCCAACCCCTGTTCTATACCCCTGTCATTCAAGGCCTATTCCAGTTAGACCATCGCCATAGATCTATGCGCTGTACGCCTTTCTTTGTTTACGTCCTGCGCCATAAAACCCCTCATACGAGGGGTATGCATCGCGACCAAACAGTGTCAGGTAGAATCAGAATCTGGAGTCTCGTGCATTGGGTATAGAACTGTGTCCCGGCCGGATCTTCCAGATCGTCGATCTCCATCTGGCATTAAGGCGGCATGAACAGTATCCTCGTCGCCCCACGTGTATCGATTGAAGCGAGAAGTCCGCAGAAGAACTTTGGCTTTAAATTGAGTCACGTATGACGACAAAGTTCAAACCAATGGTCCAATTGGATTGTCTCCAATTTTATTTCAAATCAAAAAAAGCAGACCCCTAGCTTGTAGGGTTCAGGCCGTGTCTATTGTATATCATATCCAACATTTTAATACAAGCCAAGGGTCTAATCTAATCCAGCCCATAGCCGTAAAATGCACGCAAATCAACAGATGCAATCAATATACAATGACCATAGAAAGAAAAGGGAATCAAAAATGAACAAGGCTTGGAAACGCAATCATCACAGCTCATCCTTATCCTCCGCCGGCGGAGGCACAACCGGTCGCCCAGAGTCCTCCGCCAAATCAACTCCAATCTTCTTGCGCCACTTCTCCCAAAGAGCATGGAAGTCCTTCTCCATCCCACTCTCCATCTGATCTGGCAGGACAACAGTATACTCAATAAACAGATTGCCCGCTTCATCATTCTCTTCATGGTGATCATGTAAATGACCCTCGGAGTAATGCGGCATGCCCTCCCCGGCAATAGTCTCGACAGCCAATGGCTGCACGACCTCACCACGACCACGTCCAAGACGAACAATGTGCCCATCAAGATGCGTAAGATTGCGACTCCAGTCACCCATCCACGCCTCGCGCAGCGAAAGACTCTCCTTCCAGAACAGATCCTTCCCCTTCCGCCGGAAAAACGTCCCATCTGTCCTCTCCTCCTCCGACTCTCCAAGCTCGGGCTCTTTCTCATCCAAAACAACAATCAAATCCCCAGCAATCCAGTCCGGACTCTCATCAGCTTCATTCTCAAAAACAAGCCTAGTCCCCTTCCCCATCCCCGGCTCAATAGTAGCACTAGTCTCAACCTGATTCCTAACGACCCGATTCCCCTCACAAACAGGACAAGGATTCTTAATCTTCTTTCCCTGCCCATGACACTTGTCACACTGCATCTGCACTTGCTGGAACATCCCCGGCGCAAGCATATGTTTCTGAATAACGATACCACGCCCTGCGCACCGATCACAAGTCACAACCTGTCGATCCTTGGATCCCGTTCCCTCACACGAATCGCAAATCTGCTGCTTCTCCACGAGGAAGTTGATCTCGCGCCCATTGTAGAAATCCCGCAGCGGTAGCGCCGCTCGCACTTCCATGTCCGGTCCGCGGCGGTGTCCAGGCGCGTGACCGGAGTGTCCACCCCCGCCGAAGAATCGCGAAAACAGATCGAATGGATCGTGGCCGCCGCCGCCGGCCGCTCCGCCCTTGCGGTGCTGCTCCACCCCTTCGTGGCCATATTGGTCGTACACTTTGCGCAGCGTGGTGGTCGAAAGCACATCGTAGGCGTCTGCTATTTCGACAAATTTTTCGCGCGCTGTGTCATCGCCGCTGCGAGGAAGGTTAGCAATTGCCTTGTGCGAGTGTAATGTGCGAGCCACGTAGAGAAATGAAAGCATGAAAATAGAGATAAGAGAATAGTAGCTCCACTCACGGATTCTTGTCAGGGTGGTATTTCTTGCTTAGTGTTCTGTATGCGCGCTTGATGTCCCTCTCCGACGCGGACTTCGCGAGACCAAGCACCTTGTAGTAATCCTCAGCAGCGATTACAACAACTGAGAATAGCACTACAGCTAGTGTGACCAGGAGTCGTAATAATTGCATTTCAGCGGAGCTGCGCGAGCAGCTGCTCGTGCGCTCGGAGAGATGTGGAGCTTTTGTGTTTGTGTAGACCGAGGTATGTAGGTAGGTGAAGCTTCGACAAGCTAAAGGTTTGGTGGATTTGTTGTAATATTTAATTAATCAACATGGAGAATGCACTCGCTCGTGTCACTGGTGTTCTTCGAATAAAGAATTAGAGATTGGAGATGTTTGCTCCGCAGCTCCAATGCTTAGATCTACATTAGGTGGCCTAAAAGAGGAACAATGTTTAGCCGTGTCACGTGTGAGTGTGGTCAACCAATGAACGATGAGTGATGTTGAGTACAATATGAACGAGTACTAGCTTTTGACCAGAGAACATCTGAATATCATCGAGAGTTTTATTCATTTATGGTGCAGCTTTATTTGGTTACATTGTCTGCTGCTCAATTATCTACAGCATAGATATACATCGATGTACAAAGCTGGAATATGTGTATGCCTTCTTGCTTTTGGATAACTTCGAGTCCGACAGCAAGGATAGTAATATGGCCTACAAGCAGCCTGTTTGTCGTCTCCCACAGTTAATTCCTATATAATAGAGGATCTAAAATTATTGTTCGGATTGGATGAGTAGGTACCCGAGCTTGTATGATCTATGATGGCTTTATGTAAGTGAATGGCGAAATCGCTGTTTAAGAACGTCTGGTATTTTTCCTAGTTATATAAAGGGAATTTGTCCTTACACATGGCCAAGACAAATATGTAGCGCTATCTACCTCGAAGCCTTCAATCCCTTTCCTCGTTGCGGAGCAGCCGAAAAGCCGAATCTCGTGGTCTTTTTATATTTTGCTCACCCTAATCATTGGTGTTACTCCTAAGGTCACCTATACTGCGTCCAAATAGGAGATCAATCTAGAGAAATTGGAGTGTTTTTCAAAGAAGGACCTGGGTAGAAGATACCCGTATGTTTTACTACCCCTACAACAATATTAGACTCGATTAGGACTCTTAATTTAGTAGAGTATTATGTGATCAAAAGGAAGCAAGAGATGAGCATTAGAACGGAAAACAAAAGCACCGAGCACGGGTTAACATCCGGTGATAGTTCGGATTCATCATAAAATCATAAACACGCTGTAATTAAGTAGAGCAACTCCCCCAAACACCTAAATCAGATAAGTAACACAATTAGTGCCCGGAAACATTAAAGATATCATTACGCCAGGTATGACCAAGCCCATGCGTCTCATCCCCATTCTCAATAGCCTCCTGTGCACCTGTAGCCTCCTCATTCCAGGTCTTGACAATACTTCCAGGAGCATAAACACCCCTAAAGACACCCTTATTCAGCGGCTCAAGACCAATTCTAGCCTCGACGTCCGAGTCAGCGGGTTTAAGGCGCGCGAGGACAGCCCGCACGAACGTGGCCAGATCGTGCGGGTTAGCGATGCGCGCAGCACGCAGCCGCTCACGGGCAAAGACTAGCTCACGATTCAGCGCAAATGTCGCTGCAACAATCTCCTCTGCAATCTTCTTCTCTAGCACACGCCGGACGAGGTGCTTTAGCAATGGCTTGGTAAGCCATAAGAGGAATCTCCACTTGCTACGCTTGACCGTGTAGTCGAGTTTGTGGATACAGACGCGAACTCCACGCAAAGAGAAGATCTGCTCCAGCCTGCCGCGGCCCACTTCAATGTCTAGGGAGATGTCGATACCGCGGCGGTCTAGGAAGAAGCTTGCTATGCCTTCGTCCTTCAGGTGGAAGAAGCCTGTGTGGGTGCGGAACCAGTAGCCGAAGTCTTCGGCGCTGATGTTTAGGCCCTGGACGGTGACTGTGAAGGCTGTTTTCATGAGTGTTTCTGTGCGCTTGGAATGGGTTTTCACCACGTCGATGTCATTGCGCGTGAGGAGATGCATGCGGTAGGGGAGGAAGGAGGAGAAGTTTACTGTGTGGCCGGGTTCAAGAACTAGGTTCTCGAGGAGGAGGTCCATTTCTGGAGCCGAGATCTCTAGGCGGGGGATTGGGATATATTGGATTGCTCGGAGGAGCACTGGGAGGAAGACGTTCACCAAGTCTGCTGGGAGGTCGGCCTTTTTGTTATTATAGGCGCCCCAAGCGCCGTGGTACACCTTCTTCGTGGCGTTGATTAACTTGGAGACGGCTGGGTCTTCCGGCACGGTTCTCAGTGTGCGCTTGGTCTGTGCTAAAAATTCGTCCACATCTTTTCGCAGGCCCGTTTCCGAGCCTATTTTGTCAGAGTGTTGCTTGAGTTTATCGAGCTTCTGCGGCGCCGAGTCGAAGAACTCGGGGTTGGTGAGCATTTCCTGCAACGAAGTTCCGACCTCTCCGAGTAGATCATCAAACTCGGGATCTTTGTTTGCATGACGCAAGACATTGTGGAACTTCTCCTGTAGCCGATCCCACTCTTCTGCGCTACCGAAGGACCGCAAGAGAATCCAGAATTCGTCGACCGCCCGCTTGAGGTCAGCATTGAATTCCAGGTCTTCTTGGGCAAGTGAAGCAGTATCCTCTGCTACATCCGCGTAGATCTTAGCATAGCGTGATACCAATTGAGCAAGTGTCGCCACCGAGTCAGAGTAGTCCGTTCTCTCCCGAAGCTTTTGAACCGCCTGCTTCAGTCGGAATAGCAATGTGTCCCTCTCTCGGCCCGACATGTGCTCCTTAGCGCTCTGGACAGCGTCATGGGTCGTCTGAGCGATCCCTTTGCTGGTCACATCCGCGACATGTGCAACTTCCTCCTCCACCTCGGCCTTCGATAGCGCATGCCCCTCATCGGCACCGGGGCCCTGTAGCGCCTGCTCTTCCTCCTCGGACGGCTTGACTTGTTCAGCAACGAGCTTGGAAGATTCAGCGAGGGACTCAGTGGTATCAGCGAAGATTTGGCGGCCAACGGTAACGACGTCATCGACGAAAAGACGAAAATCAGCATTGGTCAGGAGCAGACCAGCGACAGTGCGGAAGCTGTCATATGCTACGCGCGGGGATTAGTGAACGATCATCAGTTTGTAATTTGCATTTGCCAAGCCCGGAAGCTGGAGAGTTGCAGAGGCGGAAATGCGCGACCCACCAGCTTTAGTATCTGCCCGCGCCTTCACGTGGGCGGCCTGTCTCGAAAGCCTGTCTCTATCCACCTCGACACGCGAACGGGCCAGGCGCCACAAAAACTCCTGGAGCTGGTCTTGGCTGTTCTTCTGTTGCAGAAATTCGATAAAGACCTGGATCCACAGTCGACTGTCCCGCACTAGTTGGCGACCGTCGCTGCCTATATCTTGATTGCGCAGGTTGAGCACATCAGAAGCCAAAAGGGTACGGAGGTTGGCGATGGTTTGTTCAGTTGTTGGCATGTAGCCCTCGGAGATGGCGCGGACTATTTGGTAGCTATGTAGCTTTTGGTGGAGGTGTCGCTGACGGGAGGTGTCATCCTCGTAGCGAGGGAGGAGGGGTTCAGTCTCGGAGGGCATGTTGAATAGGCCCTGGATTATGTGAGCTAATAGTAATGTTTGTACGGAGTACTCCGTAGATGAAGCTCAATGAAGGTTGAGGTTCTATAGGGAGGAGTTAAGCTCGGGGAACCTGTTTTGAGCACATGACGACAACATCACCCGTACAGTGTGACGTAGATGTTTGTTCTTTGTGCTAGATCTTTTTACTAGTGAAGTATGTATATTAAAGCCGGAATGTTTTTTGAAGATTTTACTAATTAAGAAATGATCAAGATATATGAAATTCTGAAGCAATTGAACAATTGAAGCAATTGAAGCAATGAAGCGATTATGTAAAAAAATCGATGATCCGCGATCTGGGGAAAGCTATGGATTTAGCCGGGCCATTCACGTAGCCTATGCAACCATGGCAATACATACGGCGTACTAGTTCCAATTAGATCGGGCTTATTTCGATGTATGTCGATGTTGGCTTCATTTGATCCTCGATTTATCCATTCCGCGCTTTTGAACTGCGTACCACTTCATATAGGGAGACCTTGATCTGTATAAAGGAGACAATATGCATGTGAACATATATGCCTCATATACTCCGTAATTCAGAATGACATGTCTAATGCATTCATTCATTTCTATAATGTACACCCACGCGGCAGATAGCCAAGCCCTTCCAAGCCCGTCCCAACGTTGGGAACTGCAGGGAAAAGCCCTGACGAGTTCGGAGATATGTACTCCGTACTCCGTAACTATTCCATATGTACACTGTAGAGCAGAGCATAGGAATGAATATTATTAATAGAAGCTTTCCGCGTTACACAGAGCTGGCAGGTTACCCGGACAAGGGGTCCAATCGGTGACGAGATATGAAATCCCTGGATTCCGAATTGTTACAAAGCTTGTGGTTCCAGACCTGACAATTGAAGAATTGGAGGGGGCAAATAAAAATAAAAATAACGCAACCGTGCTAGAGAACATAAGTAATCAAAAATCCCTCTGTCGGCGACCGAGAGCCATTCACAAGGCCGAATATCATCGCCAACGCGGCGGACTCGAAACAGAGGCCTAAAAGTCTCACCGGGGAGCTTCCGATCGGAACAGCGAATATCATTTTCCTATCTTATAGATCTAGCGATGTTTTGTGCGCAACATATGACCTTTGAGAGCGGCAATCTCCGTCGCCGACCTCCGCCTTCTATTCTCAAATGGCATTTGATCGCTTTCTCGAAACCGTCGAAGACGCTCAAGTTCAAATCAAGAGGAAATCCCAATTCCACGAGAAACGCAAACACCGAATAGAATCAATTAGGGGTAGAGTTGGACTCCACTTCGGCACTATCTGCGGCTCTAGAAGCTCGTAGCTGTGGGTTTGGACCGATGGCGTTTCCATCCCCGGCTTTTGCAGCCAATCAGGTTACAGTCTTTCTTTAGTCACCATTCTGCTTGGGAGCTGTCACCAGTTCGAGGTCTACCGTGTAAATTGTAAATGTCCAACTCCGAATACTCCAATTTCCCAATCCCCTCACGTCCCCAATATCGATATGTACGGAGGATGGAGGGCAAACAGGTGCAGTTCCGCAAGGCTGGAATGATGAGTAAATCCCGCACCGATCATCCAAGTAATTTCCATAGTAAATTATGTGTCTCATTCAATAACTCGGGATTCTGCCCTTTCAATTCCATATTCAACACTGATTTGACTGCATCTCCGCATTTGTCGGAGTCGGCCCCCCCCCCGGTCCCCACACGGTGATACACTTCTCCTTGCTGGATCTGCTTCCCGAATAAAAGAAAAGAAAAAAAAAGCAAAACGAAAAAGCTTTTGGAGGGATCCAGATTCCAGAATGGCTTTCATGCACAACGGTTCGCTGTCAACACCGAAAATGAATCCACATGGGTCGTGACCCTCTCCTTCGTCCGACTCTTTCCGACTTCAAGTCATGACTCTTATTTTTTTACTATACCGTGTCGCCTTGACACGCGGTCCCGGTTATTTATCTGGTCATCACCCTGTCGGAATCTCCTGGATGATGTGCGCACGAACATCCCAGCGCAATCTTAGTATGCTGTCTCGAGTACATAAAAACAGACTCGCATCTGCTCCCAAATCTTTTTCTTCTTTCTATCATTCCACTTCTACCCCAAACTCGAAGTCTTCTCAGTCAATCACAATGGCTCCCTATCCTTCTCAGCAACGGGCGCATACCACCTCGGCTCCCTTTGTGAATCATGCCTTGCCTGCGTATGTCCACCCAGATCAGCTTACCTGTCTCGGGCTTGTAATGAAGAAAGCAGTCACTAATAGTTCTTAGTAACGCCAACTTCGATACCGCCAACCCTGCATACATCCGCAAGTACCTCCGCACCTACGGCCTCACGCCTCCTCGCACCGAGAGCTACGAGACGCAAAGGACCCGATGCCTGGCACAGCTGGGTCTGAAGAGCACACCTATCGAAAAATTCCTATACCTTAGCACTTTGCGCAAGAACAATGTGCACCTGTTTTACCGTCTGGTGACAGACCATCTCAGGGTACGTCAAGCACCGAGACACGTGATTGGGCCGGGAAATCTTGGGGCGACGAAAATTAACCATAATCCCTGCAGGAAATGACCCCCCTGATCTATACCCCAGTGGTGGGCGAGGCCTGCCAACGGTGGTCCGAGATTTACCAACAGCCCGAAGGTACGTATCAGCGATAACTGAGGTCTTCTCCGCATTTGGCATCTTCTCCGCACGAAATAGAACCGGAGACGCTAACGCTCGTTTTAGGTATGTACCTGAGCTGGGAAGATCGCGGGAATCTGGCTTCGGTCATCGCCAATTGGCCTGAACCTAGCGTCGAGATCACATGTATCACGGATGGCTCCCGCATCCTCGGACTGGGTGATCTGGGCATCAACGGCATGGGTATCCCCATCGGCAAGTTGGCGCTTTACACCGCCTGTGCGGGTATTCGTCCCGAGGTCACCCTGCCTCTGACTCTCGATCTGGGCACTGGTAACAAGACCCTCCGGGAAGACCCGCTGTACATGGGGAGCCGCCGCGAGAAGATCTCACCCGAGGAGGAGCGGGAGTTCTTGGACGAGCTGATGGCTGCTCTTACCGAGCGCTGGCCCGGGTAAGTGACTCATTCTCACATGTCCTATATGGAAACCGCGACTAACAATGCATCTCTAGTATCGTCATCCAATTCGAGGATTTCAAGAACCCCTTCCCTGCTCTTCGGCGGTACCGTGACATGTACACCTGTTTCAATGATGACATACAGGGTACTGGCGCTGTCATCCTTGGCGGTATCATCAACGCTGTCAAGCGCTCCGGTCTGCCCTGCAAGGACCACCGTGCCGTGTTCTTCGGCGCTGGCAGTGCCGGTGTCGGCGTCGCCCGCCAGATCGTCGAGTTCTTCATGCGCGAAGGCATGACTGAGGACGAAGCCCGCAACTGCTTCTACCTTGTCGACACCAAGGGTCTTGTCACCGCTGACCGCGGTGACAAGCTCGCCGACCACAAGGTCTACTTTGCCCGCGGTGACAACAACGGCGAGCAGTACAAGACTCTTGAAGAGGTCATCGACTACGTCAAGCCCTCCATCCTGATGGGTCTCTCCACCATGGGCGGCGTCTTCACCCCGGAGATCCTGCGCAAGATGGCTGACTGGAACACCGCCCCTCTCATCTTCCCCCTCTCCAACCCTTCCTCTCAGTCCGAGTGTGACTTTGAGACTGCCATCGCCAACACCGACGGCCGCTGCCTCTTCGCCTCCGGCTCCCCCTTCCCCAACTACACTTTCACCAACTCCGCCGGCGAGACCCGCACCTACTACCCCGGCCAGGGCAACAACATGTACGTGTTCCCTGGTATCGGCCTAGGCAGCATCTTGTCCAAGGCCGTCCGCGTCACAGACAGTATGATCTACGCCTCTGGCGAGGCCCTCTCCGCTGCCCTCACCGGCGAGGAGCTCGAGCGCGGCCTGCTCTACCCCGATATCACCCGCATCCGCGAGGTCAGTGTCGTCGTCACCCGCAAGGTGATGCGCGCTGCCCAGGAGGACAAGGTGGACCGCGAGATTGCGCTGCGCTCTATGGGCGACGCCGAGCTGGACAACTGGATCAAGGCCCGCATGTATGACCCTCACACAGAGGTCCGTGCTCTGGAGAGCGAGGTCGGCCACCTCCTCTCTAATCTAGGAACGATCTCGCCACCCATCACGGCGACTGGCTCCCCAACTGAGGAGAAGAATGCCAAGTTGTAAGATTTGATCTTTTTGTTTTTGTCCTAGACTTGGCTGTGCATGCTGCATTTTGCAGAAAAAAAAGCATCTGTTCGAATATGTCAGCGCTTAGGATCTCTGCGTGATGGACTCGCATGTCACCTTTGACTTTTGATATTTCCCCCCTTTTGTCTTTTGTTGGTTTCGAGCGCACTTCGTTTCTTACATTTCTTCTCTGCCTATTTTCAGGTTGGACACGAACTTCTTTTCCCCTGATTGAATACCCAACACTTATTTCCTTTGGTTTTTGGCTCGCATTTTGGGGGTCTTAGCATCTTGGGAATAGTTAGCATTTCGCTGGCATTGCCATATGAATGAACAAAATTTAATATCACTTACTATTATCCTACTATTTAGCTTGTTCACAACTTTACGCCAACACCTGTAGAGGTCGCAACATGTTCCAGTCTAAGTTAGTAATGGCGTTCCTCACTGAGCGTCAAATATACCAAGCAGACTCGAAAATTCAGGACGGATGAACCCAACTCCCCGAATTTCCCAATCCACATTTCTTCAACGTGGACCTCGGCCCCTGAAGACTCCACAATGCGAGACGGGGAGATCAATCTCTCCGCGAGATGACTAAGAGCTAATTCTCATTAACTAGTTAGTTACAAATTGATGAAAGTGTCTGTTGTCCTTCCTTTGCAGATTCTTGTTCTGGAATAGAGGTATGTGTGCGTTTTGAGTTGCGAGCAAATTGAGACTAACGTCATTAACAGCGTGTTTTGTGTCTGTTAGACTTCATCTATATCGCCAATTACATTAGACTGAATTCCTTACACTGTATATATTGATCGCATACGATACATATACGCCATGCCATCTCCCCTCGCAGACCCCGTCAAGCTCCCTTGTGGGCTTGTTCTGCCGAATAGGCTAGGCAAGGTACAAATCACATACGTTATTCACGCCTAGCGGCTATGCACAAATGGAACTAATATCTCCCAGGCCGCAATGGCTGAGATGATCGCCAAAACTAACCAGCCGACAAACGCCCTGGTTGATGCATATGAGCAATGGTCGGACGGTGGATGGGGGATGATTCTTACAGGTAAGGTCTAATTCTCCCATTTTGTGGTCGAAACTTCTATGCCAAACGCGAAACCTAGACTGTCAAAACATATCCCAAAGGACACCCAACCCTAACATCTTAGCAGGAAACGTGCAAGTCGACGTGAACCACATGGGCAGTCCCTTCGACCCTGCTCTACACAGCGAATATAAGGACAGCGAAACCAACAGCTCCCTCGTCGCGCAATGGAAGAAATATGCCGACACCTGCCAAAAGCACGGCACGCCGGCCATAGTCCAGATCTGCCACCCAGGCCGGCAGTCCTTCCGCCTTGCAGGTCATCGCGGAATATTCGCGCAGACGCTCGCGCCCAGCGCCGTGCCCATGAAGGTTGGAGATAGCTATTTTGAGAAGCTGATTGGGTGTTTGGTCTGGACCCAGCCCAAGGAGATGACAACTCAGGATATTGAAAGGGTTATTCGTCAGTTTGTTGATACCGCGAGACTTATGGCGGATGCTGGGTTTTCGGGTATTGAGCTACATGGTGCGCATGGGTATTTGATTGGTAAGTTTTTTTAAAAAAAAATGTATAACCTCTTTGCTAATGGTACGTCTATTTAGATCAATTCCTCAACGGCAAGGTATGACACTCGGTTCCCCTATCACCAGCCCAACACCAATACTAACCATAACCCCAGACAAACCTCCGCACAGACGCATACGGCGGCACACCCGAAAAGCGCGCCCACTTTGTCCTAGAGATCCTCTCTCAAACACGCAAAGTCGTACCCGCGACCTTCGCAATCGGCATCAAGCTAAACTCAGCCGACCACAGCTCCACAATCTTCGAAGAAACAATGACGCAAATCGCACTTCTAGCCGAAGCCGGCATCGACTTCATGGAAATCTCAGGCGGCAGCTACGAAGACCCAAAGATGATGGGCTACGGCAAAGCCAATCCGGCAGCACCAGAATCGTCACGCACCGCAGCGCGCGAAGCCTTCTTCCTCGAGTTCTCGAAGGAGGTGCGACAGCGCCATCCTGAGCTTGTGCTTATGTTGACCGGTGGGTTCCGCACGCGTGCTGGGGCAGAGGCTGCTATTAAGGATAATGCTTGTGATCTTGTTGGTATTGGGCGGCCTGCAGCTATTGATCCGAAGTTCCCGCGTCTGTTGCTTGATGAGAGTGTCGGCGACGACGAGGCGCGGATGCCCTTGAATAAGGCGCCTATTCCGTGGTATACACGTTTCTTGCCGTTGCCTCTTATTGGGGCTGGGGCTGAGAGCGTAAGTTTTTTTCTTTTGCTTTTGGGTGCTTTAGGCGGTTTGCTAACGAGTTTGGTAGACGTACTATGCTGCGCAAATTCAGAGATTGGGTAAAGGGATTGCTGCCATTGCTCCTCCTTGGTAGGCACTAAGCCATGGATGTTCTTGGGAAATTCTAGGGCATGGTATATTCAATATACAGAGGATGAGAAAGAAGAGGCAAAGAGAGAGATGAAGAGTGAATAGTAAACCTAGAAAGAAGTTGGCCTCTTTATATCAACTAACACCAGTGAGATAGAGAATGGCCTGGCGTTTAAGGTATAAATATAGCACGAACATAAACTACTGAAAGACCTCTAATCATATTACATTAAATAGTGCTCGGTTCCGTGAGGTATCAAATGAACATGCGCAGATATTGACAGTATTGTTAGATAAAAATAATGCTAGGACTAGCAGCCCACCTGTTCGTCTTTCTCGACAGGAAATAACCTCAACTGAGTCAACTTTTCCTGTTCCTTCAACTCCCCTAGTTGTTGATGAAGGGCAACGTTGTCCTGAATCAATTTTTGAATCCACAGTGCAGCCTCCTCGAGAACATATTTTCTCGTGTATGACTGTCTCTCAAGCCCTGGCACAATGTGACAGAGTTCTTTATATCGATCTCCAATGATCTCTCTCCTCTTCTTTTCCGATCGGCAGTGGCATAAATTCTGTCCTGGCCTTTGCACACACTTTCTTTTCCTTTGTTTGGACTGGGTTCTGGCTTTGACACAGCTCGCCCGTTGTGTACATTCAGTATCATCCAAAGAGAACATTTGGGCTTGGCTCGAGGATGAAGATGGCGATGGGGTTTCGGAGGGTCTTCCATTTTGTGGGACCATCGAGGTCTGAAATATTGGGAGTGTGAATCCATCCAGTTCCGATAGATTCTTCTGAGATGGCTCATGTATACTTTCGGGAACATCAAAGTCAATGTCCATGGCGGTACACAAACCAGCCATGTTCCGCATCAGGTTCTGGACCAGGCGCTCCTCTGTCCATGTACCTATGGGACTAGAGAAGCCATGATAGCAGAAACTGGGATCTGAACCCCATTGTAGACCTTCTTCGGCGGGCCATTGGTCTCGGGAGATTGGTTGAGGTCTGTCGTCTTGCCAGGGACAGTAATGTGAAAGAGTACTATAGTCCTTTTGAATCGTCTGATTGGCGTTTTCCATTCGGAGATGTGGTAAATACCAAACTGGTAATGGGCTGTTTGAATTGTGAAAGATAATCAGGTATCCAGCCGATGTTGTACTTTGGGTTTTAGATATTGGTTTAGGATTCTGTGGAAGACGATGTAACAGTACTTGATTTTGGATTTTTAATCAAAGAGAGACCTCAGGAAGTGAAGAGGGTCAAATTTCTCCTAATATTTCAGTCAAGCAAGGTTCCTCGTTAATAATGAGGCAGCCCTCGTCAATTCCGGGATGCACCCGGGATAGTACTTGCGGATCCGCGTCCTCTACTACGAAACATCCGTTCCTAATTTGACTTACTGTATTTTTCTCTATGCTCTTTAATTGTATATGCACATATTTGCGGAGTATTGATGGAGTAGTAGTACTATTATTCTTTACTTTCACTATTCATCTCTCAGCACACACCGGGTGCATCCCGCTCCACGTCTGATACAGGTCCTGCCGACACCGACAATCACTACCCCTAATTGGGACACAAATAAGCTAAATTAGGGTAGCAGTATCTCGTTGTCGGTGGGACCTTCCTCTTGTCCGTTCTAACAATTCTGACCAAGGACTCCAATTATAGCAACTCAGGGTTAATCGGCGTGTTTATCTCTGTTGTAACTACGGAGTAGTGGACGTAGTGTTTGGTTTTCCTAATTCGCGGGGTATGACACGTGACTATATGTCCGGGTACATTCCGGACAACAACAGTCTCGGGATTGTTCCACTGCTTTTCTCTCCTCTCTTCCGGTCACCACCCGGGTCACCAATAAAATTGTGTACCAGCAATATTGTGGGTCACACATACACTCAGCTGTGGCTTATAGGACAACTTGTCGAACAGATGCCTCCCAAAGGTGGAATTAATAAACGGGAGCCACCGCGGCGTCGCAAGATTGCCCTGGCTTGCGAGTCTTGTCGAGATAAAAAGGTCAGGTGCGATGGTATCAAGCCAATTTGTGGCCCCTGCGCTCGACGCTCGTATACTGTTGACCAATGTGTTTACAAGCTGGATAATGCAAGGTCCGCCAGCAATGATGAATACCTGAAGATTCTCCATGATCGTATTCGAGAGCTTGAAGCAACATGCGCGAAAGGCGGGGTTGCTGTGCCACCTGGGCCTTCGCAACATAAAAACTACCGGGCATCTGCAAGTCAAAGCCTTGTCGGTGAAGATATGGATCTGGACGTAGAATCAAGGGCATCTGTTGCCGCGGAAGGATTACTAGGACTGGGATCCACCCCTGTGCCATCTGGACCAAGTCCTCTGTCTTCTTCAACGCCTACTTTTCAACCGCCAAGAATCCCCACGCCGAGGAATCGACCGGAAGCTGAGCGCTATAGATCCCCACATGCGGCACATTCACATCTGTCTCCTGAATCTGCCCACCCACGAGCAGGCAGCATATATGCTTCGCCGTCTCTCAACTCCCACGGTAATGTCACCGCCATGGGTGCAATATCTGTCGCAGAAGACGACCCAGGCACAGACTCTCCACAGGAGCAGCAATACTATGGGAACTCTTCAGTGGCCTCTTTTATGCGACTAGCAGGAGAGTCGATGCCATTGAACAACTGAACCCACTTGATTTGTCATCGCAGCCTACTGAGCCGATATCAGACGAACACAATCTCCGTCACGAACCCAATAACATGGAATTCAATCCTTTTACATCTTGGGATGAGATAAGTTTGGGACAGGAAGAGTTTGGATTCCTTGGGAGACTTGATTTGCCTGATCTTGCAGGTTGGTTCACAGATATACCGCCTTGAACACATCATGAACGTAAATTCCTCTACAAAAACATGCAATATGGGCCATAAACCAGACTGACTGATGCTGGTCGACTACTTCGCAAAACACCACCAGACACCAAACAAGCATAGAAATGAGCTTAGGAGTCGGTCGTCGAATGTATTTTCAAATTACTGGCTCAATTTCCTCATCGGTGAATTGGGGTAGGGGCTGGCATTTTGCCAACTCTTATTATTCGATAAGTCCCACGAAACAAGCATGGAAAAGCCCCCACGCCATGATGGGCAGATCTTAGAAAATGCGATCTGTCCTATTATATCATAATATAGGGTATCATATTCCATCCCTCGCATGGGCATAATAGAAGGAATAGGAAAGTTGCACAATGAACGGTCCAGAAAGACATCACATAGAGTCAAAGAGTCTCGTATCACCATGACTCCAAAAAGTCCCAGAAAGATTCTCCAAAGTCTCAAAGTCCGGCACCCACAGAGGATCACTCTCATCTTGATCAATCCATGGCGCCAGCTGCAACGCCATCCTAACCGCGTGCTCGGAATCATCAGCCGGACAACCCTGCGGCTGGGGCGTAGCACCCGCAGTATCTGGAGCCAGCCCCGTCGGGTTGACCGGGGGGAACTTATCACTACCCGACATGCCGGGAGCAGTAGTAGAATTCCAATTAATCCCATACTGGGCCGTCATCAGCTCCGCCATTCCGGCATTGCGGGCAGTCTCATTGCCCTGCAATTTCTCCATGGCGGCATTGACAAGCAGCTCGAAGGCGTCGCGGTATTTCTTGACCCATGCCGCGCGCTCGCCCATTACAAAGAGGACTGTTGAGCAAGCGCGGATGTCGTTGCTCATGCGGACGGACCAGACTTGGTCTGTGTGTGTCCATAGCGCGTAGAGGAGGGTGATTCCGGCCATGAAGACTGTTTGCACGGCTAGGAAGGAGTGGCCATACTCCAGGGTTTGGTGGAGGCGTTTGTGGGATTGACATATGTTTCCTGCTGCCAGGATGCAGATTTGGTAGTATGGGTCCGTGATTGGGAGGAGGGGGAGGAATGGCTGGATTAGTAGTCGGACTGCTCGGTTGAAGTGCAGCATTGGGTAGTCGAGATCTGGACCGCTGAATCGTAATAGGGCGGATTCTTTCCATTGTTCCAATTCGATGTATAGAGGGTCCATTTTTGGTCGGAGAGAAGATAGGGGGCGGTCTGCGCGGTAGATTTTATGTTGAATGCGGGAGTCGATGCGACGGAGTTTGAAGAGGTAAATTGCGAATGTCAAAGTTGTGGTCTTGTTTGGATCTAGGGGTGCTGTGAGTAGTGTGGGGTCTTCAATGTCGTCGTCCACTTCTAGTGGGAGGTCAAGATCAATGTGACGATCGGATATACTGAACGGGCGACCGAGAGACATTGATACCACTCGCTCTAAATAGTATACAGTCCAAAATAGCCTTCGTCGCATCTGAGTGGTAAATGGATCCAGATTGCTTTCATTTGCCTTTCGGTGGAGACCTAGATCGATAGCAGTACGCATAGCAAGTCCAATCATGTACCACATTCCATGACTGGACGCAGTTCGGAGGTGGTACACGACAAGAAGAACCATGGCCTCGATATTATCAATCGATCGTGCTTCACACATCGTGGGAACATGCTGCAAGGCGGCAGTATAGAATCGCTAAAACTTGTAAGTGTCGGCCAGTCTTAACGCTTAATGAATATGATTACCTCGGGAGTCGTGTACGCATATTTCTCACTCAGCCGAAGCATTGTTGCGCCGATTGCATAGACCAAGTTGAGTTTGAAAATAGCAAATCGATCAGACCGAGTAAGGTCCTCACGTTTGATCTTCGCTAATCGCCATCGATCTCCATGAATCTGCCATACATGTTTCCTATTAAGAAATGGATATCGAGAATGAAGTCGGGTGAAATATGTTTCGAGTATTCTTGCCCCCATCTCATCAGTTGGAGGTTCAACATTCGCCGGCAAGAGATCTTCCATTCTCGTTGTCCGATCTCGAATTTGAGTGGCGCTGGGCTGCTCCGAGGGCCCGTGTGCTTGGCCAGCCTTACTTCGAGAGCTACTGGCGGCGGTAGTTTTATGTTGCATTCTTGAGATGAATTGGTTCCATACACTCGTTTGGACCATCTCTCCCAGATCGGCAGCGAGTGAAAGACCAGAACTGGATCCTACGTATGCAGGGGCCTCAGAGCCGCTCAGGGCAAGAAGGCCCACGATTTCTCCAACGGGGTTATTGTCAAATCCAGAGGTAGCTGTGTGTGGCGTTGTGTTACCACCTTGTGGAGAGAACAGCGAAGACGCCGTATATGTAGCGGTATTCCCGTCTGATGATCGATTCGACTCCACAAGTTTACGCTCAAGAAACAGTACACGCTCCTCTAAGCCACGTGTGTAACTGGTATCCAAATTAGTTCTTTCCCGGCTACTACATATACTTGGACCTTACTCATTCTGACGGTCTTTGTCCTCTCGGACGCTGGACTTGTCGCACGGGACACCCGCCTTCAAGCAGTTCGAACAAGTCGGATATTCGTTGTCGCACTACAAGCCGTTAGTCGAGATACTTGTAGTCATCTTACCGATTGGAACTCACCTTCTGCTTCCGTGTCTTGCAGCGAGTGCATGCCGTCCTCCCGCGTTTCCGCGGGTTATGATCTCGCGATACGGGACTTGTCTGCCTTGATGACTCGGAGCTCTGCCCGGGCGCATACATATCGGATTTGCTGGAAAATATCAGCTTTAATTTGGAACATGAAGATGCCGGTGAAGCGCCATTGTAGGTGCGATTGAGATTGAAAGAGATCGGAGATGTCGTTGGATCGGAATGCCAAGACAAGACGTCTCCTAGTATCAAGGCTAGCCTATAGTTTACGAGGCGTCTAGGATAAACACCCGAACTTTTTGCTTCTTTGTTTTCTGCGGTTTTACTACTTGTGATAAAAGAGATATTTCGAAGGGTTGAAGCAATCAGAAGCACATCTTACAACTTCCAGTTTACCAGATAGCAATATTGACATCAAGACTCCGTAGCTCGGACAATCATAAGCGCCAATTGATGCTCGTATTATATTAATATATCGTAAACTATACAAAATTTTTGCTTTTTGGTATCACACGCCACCCAAGGAAATCCAGATCTAGCCAAATCAAAGAGTTATTAGATCCCTATATGCTTTAGTACATGCCTCAATGCTGCTCCTTCTCCCCATATCCCTCAGTATTAGGTTCCGCCCGGGAAGGCGGCATGGATGATTCGGCGAATGTTGACGCAGAATGGCGCTTCTCGACCTGGTGGTATGTCTCAAGACACTCCTCGGGATATTCAGAAGTAACCGCCTCGGCATCTCTCTCTTGGGCTTTTCGCTTTTCCTCCTCAAGCTCTTCCGGCTCTTTCGGTCGTTCCAGACCTCTGTCACGCACGAAAATACATGCCAGGAAACATACACCGATGACGGGGACTTGCAGAATGAATACTGCGTGGGAAGCCTTGCTGTAAGAAAGCAGAATTGAAGCCCACTCAGTTGCACTGATGTTCGCTTTTGAAGGAAGTGAGTACGAAGACTCTGCCAAGTACGCGAATTTGGTTGGTAGATTAGAGCGAAGAGCAGCCTGGAGAATTGCTGCAGAGATGGCGAGGCCACATGAACCACCAATGCAGCGGAAGAAGTTACGGTTCGCAATCACAACTGCTCTTTGGGATTTAGTGCAATGGGCTTGCAGGGCCACGAGAGTGGGCTGGAATGTGAAGCCAATTCCGGCGCCCATAACTGCCACAATGACTGCAATAACAGCCGGATGGGTGTGGGTACCGAATAATAACATGAGGCCCGACCCCCTATGAAAATGATATCGTCAGTATGGGACCAAAGTAAGAGCATTTAGGCATCGATCAACGTACAAAGTCCACAAGCCAAATCCAATCCAAATAATTTCACCATAGCGCTTTACTCGTGTGATGTATAGCCCGGATGCAATTGAGAAAGTTGACTGGGCCGCAACCATGGGACATGTCATGGCCGCAGAGGCAATTGGCGACCAGCCACGGGCATTCTGGTAGTACAATGGCAGATAGTAAAGACTTGACTGGTAGACTGCACCATACAGAAAGCTCTGCAAAAATATTGCAGAGATGACCTTATTTTTGAAGAAGACCACTGTTTTATGTCAACTGGATGTCCTTTTACTACTATGGGGGGATCAAAACATACCTGGTAGCATCGGAAGTGTTGCCACTTTCCATTCAATAAGCAAAAATGCAACGATTGCACAACCTCCAATGACAAGCATACTAATGACCATCGGTGAATCCCAGGGGAAATAGGATCCACCACCCGAGATAGGAATCAAGAGAAAAATGATACCAATGGACGATGCGAGCAGTCCGAACCAGTCGATGCGCCCAATATTCTCACGGAAGTTATCTTTGCGTGCATTATTCGGAATGAGGAAGTATCCAACGACTGCAGAGCAAGCAGCCAATGGAGAAATCAACCAGAAGAAACCGCGCCACGTTGAACGCATGATGAATGCAGCACCCAGAAACGGCCCAATGATATTACCAAGACCCAGAGATGCACCTAGAATACCCTGGTATTTGCCTCGCTTTTCTAGGGTCACGATATCGGAGACAATAATCATTGTCAGAGAGGTAACACCACCACCAGCGACACCAGCCAGGCCTCGGAAGACATAGAACATAGCCGGGTTCTGAGACAAGCCACAGAGCAGGTCTGCAATACACAGCAAGACCAATGCGGAGATGTACATGACTTTCCGGCCAAAGATATCTGATAGTCGGCCGTACAGCACGGTGAACACGGTGTTTGCAATTAGCGACGAAGTTCCAGCCCAGGAAATGGTGTTTTGGGCACCCAGCTCGCGTGAGATCGTTGGTAGTGTAACACTGATGCCATTCTGATCCACCATACAGATCAGCAAGGAAATTGCAAGGCCCGTGAAGACAACCATGAGTTGCGCGAAGGGGAGAATATTTGTTTGGTCGTGAAGGGCCTTTTCGGCCTCTCGTTGTCGATTCATGGCTGCAGATGTAGCGGTGCCAAGCTTGCTCAAAGAGGTAATTTCCCTTAGATTATCTGAGATGTTCCGTAAAAGGCCATGGAGCTTGAAGTGTAGAAGATATTGCACACGGAGTATATTAAGGTTGGTAGGGGCTTGGCGTTATACTATCCGAAGCACAATTGTATGGAATGAGGAGGGTCCTAATGTTATTTAAAGAAATAAGCTAATAATCCCACGGCAAGTCTGTTCATATAAGAGTCATTCAATTGATAAGAAAAGTTTTTCCCTGGCAGGATTTTAGTGCCTTTCGATCCATCGGCAACTGAGCGATTGGAGCTTGAGCGCCGCTGGCAGATGTCATATCGGATCCACGTCCGATGCAAGTGAGTATCTGTGTGCCTGGTTTTCATTGTAGCCCAATATCGCCCCGATGAATGGCGATCCAGACACTGTTGGCTCAATTCCGTAACATTTTGTCGGTGCGGTTGACGAAGAGCAGAGTCTGTTGTGGATCCGTGGGGTCGGATATCCGATCGGACCTCCGATGGCTGACTAACTAGTTACCGAATCTAGGAATTTAGGCCTTTATCTCCGGATATTTCTCCGCAGTAAGTGTCGCCACTATTTTTCTGCTTGATCGCTTATTGTGTGGTCACTTTGACCAATTGGGCTACTATTATTATTATTTGAAAGACGCATATGTACCTTTAGCGACGTCACACCGCCGCCTATGCTGAACTCTTTGCGAGTCCATAACCGAGGGCATTTTTGACGAAGGCAAGCCGTTGGGCTTTGATATAGCTTCTATAGCCTAGCTCTCTTCCTCTATCAACATCGCCACAAATTTATCTAAGTAGTTCAAAATTTCACCATGGTCTACTCGTTTTTACCAATTGGGGAGAGCGGGTTTGCGCAAGGTCGTCCAGCTCTGCATGGGGGAAGAAACTTTGTTCTAGGGAACGTACTCAGAATGCAATTAGCCGATGGTCTCAGAACTAAGCAGATAGGATTCGCCCCTCAATAAAGGTGGTATCAAAACAAGATTAAACGGCGTAGCTCGTTGACTTCATAACAATATTAGCCCTGATGATATCGTCCAGCCCCAGGTCATTCTCGGATATTACTTCCTCGGCATAAGAGGAACCAATATAGAGATCTCAGGGTCAAAATCAAAACAGAGATCCCAGAAAAGACTCATCAAACTAACCCTCTTCAGAGTTAAGTTAGATTTTGCCATCGTGTCCTGGATTAAGCATCCAAACTTCTAATATTGACGTCTCATAGAACGTGTAGAAATTCTGAGACCGGAACGGCCAAGGCATCAAATACCATACATTGAGTAAAGTCAGCTAGTTCTCGTGTTGGCTCAGGTTGTAGCGTGCAAGAATGAATACCAATATCAGCAACACGGTGGCCGATGTCATCCTCTTAACATGATATTTTAGGTATGTGCCGATCCAATTTGAACCCCTAGGCCATCACTAGACCAGGCATTCTGAATGGTAGATGTGTTGGAAGCATTAACCTCGTAAGCAGGGATTTCGCCGACTGCATTGCTACTGCCACCAACACCATTTTGAGTAGACCCGTGTCTTGGGATAATGCCAGGACTCGGTACAGCATGATGGACCATATAGCTGGCACCGGTGACATTGCCCTGGTTTGGGAAGAAGCTCTGATTCAGTGACCCGCAGGTTGTGCAGGTGAATTCAATCTTGAAATTGGTAAGAACCATCTGGGGGGCGGCATCATGATCACTGCGCTCAGGGTAGTCTTTCGGACGCCCAGCCATTCCTACTGGTAAAGAGGCAGCGGTCTGACATTGTGCCCCTGTTTGTATAGACATTGGATGTTGGCTGTGATTAAAAGAGGGTTGGTTTGATGTGGGAATATGTACGTGTGGCACCTGGGGTGGAGATGGCAGGGCTTGGGAACTAGATGGTGGAGCAAGTACGTGGTTTTTGGGGGTCTTGATTGGGGACACGTTATCATCATCAATTGATGATGATGCGATATGCTCGGAAAGCCAGTGATTCTCAGATATGTCTCCATATGCGTGTACCCCTTCCCCTTGCGACTCGGGGGATTGCTCGGGCGACTGTCGTTCCTCCGTACTCATCTCGATATTCAGCTCATGTTCATCCTGGCCCTCAGCATGTCGTGGTTGAAGTTTGGTAAGCGCTCGCTGTGCCTGGCGCAGAGATATGTCATACCCATGGTAACGTTTTACAGCATCCACAACGTCCTGGGCTCGTATTTTCGACTTCATATCGAAAAGCTTCGGGATCTCACTCAGCAGAAATCGCACATGAGAAGCTTCAGAGCGAGCTGGCGTGTCCTCAGGGGAATTTTCACTCCGACGGCAACTATGGCTGTCTTGAAGACTAGTGATGTAGGTCGCATTTTTGTTCGAGCGACAGACGACACGAAAGAAGCAATTTGCCGATGATCGACATCCGATAACCACGCTCTTCTTGTTGCTACGGACCACACGAAGCTCCCAGTGTTGTCTCACTGATATGCTCCGTACCACTGTTTTGAACTCTTCTAGAGAGCAAAACCGCTGGCCCACATGGAGGCCGGAATACATCTCCGTCATAGCGATGAACCTGAGACACGTACAGAGGACAGAAAGATATCAGTAGCTAGGACAGCAGTCACAGATTCTTGCGCGGCAAAGTTCATCGAGTCTCTGGTTGTGGCTTCACCAGGTCGTGCTTGCAAACAGCTTGGGATTGCGGAGTACAGCTGTGATCCTCAAGTAAGCACGCGAGCGATTCTGGGTAGGTTTGAGATGGTCTCTAGCCAAGAAGCTCGGGGGCTATGAGTAATATGTAAAAGAAAGTCGATTACTCCTGTTATGCAGCACAACTGGTTGAATCATGGCTATTAACTGGAGTCAATAAGGTTAAGGCGGAGTTTAAGTGCCAGACCGCTCGGCTTCACTTTTCATATCCCTCCCCGCTTCGATCAGCTTGAAGCCGTGCACCCTTTCAATACATATATCCTGCTTTATTAAACTCTGAGATCGAATTTCATATTCAGATACACAAAATGGCTTCATACGGGCTGCTAGGCCAGCCAGAAGAAGGTCGAGTCCACTCCAGCTCTGTTCTCCCAGGTCAACGTTAACGGCCCAGCTTTTACAGATGCGCTCCACAAGTCGCGTCTCCTCAACGTCGAAGAAAAGCCATTCAAGCGAATCTCAAAACGACTATTGAACCCCGATTCCCTCATTGTCTCGCGATCCTCGCTCCCTCTCACCCCTCCCCCCGAAGAGACCGACGCCGATTCCGATGCGACCGCAACAGAAGCCGAGAAACAGAAAAGACTCGAAGAATGGCACCACTTTCGCGAGGATGTCGCACTCGACTTTGCCACCTTTGAGGGCAGCATTGCCCGCGTGCAATTTCTTCTTACCAGCAACGAGCAAGAACGACAGCGATATGCTACCGAGCGAGTTCAGATTCTGTCGACAATGCAGTCTGTACGAGAAAGCACGGCCGATCTACGAACTCAGCTTGAAGAGGCACAGCGACTTCTCTCCTTGCGAAAGACCTATGACGAATTGACGGACAAAATCACGAGCAACCGCCTACTCAAGCCGCGCGAAGACCAGTCGGCGAACCTTCAGAAATTACGGCTGGAGATTGCAGATCTCGAGAAGGAAAGCAAGGATTACGCGATGACCTGGGCTGAGCGCCGTGAGCAGTTCGGTCGTATTGTGGACGAGGGGATGCAACTTCGTCGCCTGATCCGCGATGAGAAAGAGGAAGTCGAGCGCCGGGAAGGCATGCAGGAGGGCGAAGACGGCGACGAGGGAGATGTCACATCCAAGGGCAAGGCTAGCAGTGGAAACACTCCTCCTGGACCTGAAAACGATGCCATGACCCCCTCTCAACACGGCCAAGACGATGCCGGTCGGCCATCTGGTCTGCAGGTTCAGAAGCCCGGGGCTGCCGGTGCTGCGTCACCTTTGCGGCAAGTCACAACTGCTCAGGGCGATGGGGCACGGGAGGATACCAATATGCTTGATGAGGGTGAAATTTCTGCGGTTAGTGATGGCGAATTATCCGAGCTCGAGGAAGGAGAGGAACTCCCCGACGATTTCAGCGGGAAGATGGATACTACCTGAAGATGCATTTCGGCATGTACATTACTAGCACTAGCAAGGAGTTCTGGTCTTTGGTCCGGCGTTGGGCATGGCTTCAATTTATTGAATGATACTATGGAATCATTCCACCTTATGGGTATTTTTTTTTTGCTCTGATGTAATTGACATGTCTTTCACGAAATCACGCGCTGTGCGGTCTTGGCTTGAGCAATGGCTTCTTTGGCAGCGGTGATTTGCTCAACGTTGCTGTCCGATCCCTTTTTGCCCTCCTCGATCTATCAAATTTGGTTAATAGAATCCAAGAATACAGATAGGTAGTACTCACAATCAAAGCTTCCAGGTTCGCAACGGTCTGCACAATCTTCTCCTTCAATGTGGGCAGAACCTTCTTGGTCTCTTCAAGAGACATGTGCTATCGTTCATGTCAGCATTAGAGGCAAGATGATATGGTGGAAGCAAAGCTCATGTACAAGGCACATACCTCTTGTTTCAGGGTATACTCGCGGTTCTCGTCGCCACCAGTGGTATCAGCCTCCAGCTTCTTGATACGTTCAGCCTGCTGCTGAAGCTCCTTGTGATAAGAAGCTTCCTCCTTGACCAAGCGGGTCACGGAGGAAGTGGTGATCTCGAGCTGCGAACGGGGTGCCATTGTGATTATCTGTGTGAAGGGTCAGACGTATCCGAGGTTTCGAGTCCAGGCCTTGTATGATATTGCCAAAAGAGGCGCCATATGACGAGAAGGGTATGTTCTAATCGACGCTATTGGAATGCTCGAATGATAGCAGTACGACTAGCGTTGCTGGTACCATTGTTCGAGGCACTGTGTATATAGACGAGCATCACGGCAGAAACAGATACCATAATAGACGTACCTGTGAGTCGTATCTGAGGCAGAATTTAGTGATATGGTGAGCTGATTTTCGATTTCTCAAAGTTCTTTGAAATGCCCCTCGATGATGCTATCAAGATGATGATTGCATTGTTTGCTGGACATCACGTGCTTACAACGACAAGTTCCGAAGACAATGGATCCGAGACACTACAGAATGAATGCAAGAAGCCGCTGGAATATAAAAAGCTGCTTCGAAAGGGAAAAGAGCTTATGGTCGGCATTTCAGCGACCTCCCAATACTTTGTGAATCTGGAGATGTCGTATAAATGGATAAATGAAGGTTTCGTCTGTACTATAAACTAAAGCATCTGACATTACTTCCAGGGTTGCTACGGAGTATATGTGTGCCGATTGCATAATCCTAGGGGCAACGAGGTTGATTTTGAGATTCACAAGAGATAGCGTCGTCGTTGTGGTTGATTCACGAGTAACGACAAAATGAAGCCTGAATTCCTCGAGTAGGCATCTTGATGATGCAGGCCATCAATTCTCACTTGAGCAGACATCAGATCTTACGAATATTCAATCAGTAGAGTCCGTAGCTGTGGCTTGGAAACATTAGAACAAAGAATATCAAATGAAGCAACGAATCGACGCAGCCAATCAGCGTCGACCGCGTGATCATCCTTTTATTTAAAGCCGAGACTCCTACCATCGACAACCACAAGAATCGCGTCGCATCTGGCATCTTTTGGTCTGTCCTTTATTCTTTTGAATGCGACTGCGCCTCGTATACTCTGTTATATCTAGTACTTGCTTTCACCTCATGTCGCATATCTTATGGTACCCAATTCGGCTTGAACCATTGCCGTCATAAGCAAAATGCCAGCCCCATCACTGCTTCACCTGGCTACAGCCACGGCTATCCGCTTCATCAAAGGTATAGATGAACCGAGCTCTCTCATTTTGCAAGACTCCGGACTAAATGCGTGATCTTCAGACCTGGATAATCTGGGGGCCATGCCATACTCACTCGCCCGTCCTATTTTGCTTAATATCCATAACCCCGAAAAGCTGGTACGTCTACTAGACCTCACTGTCTAACTATTCTTTCACCCGCGCTTCATTTTCAGTTTCAAGCTCATCTTCTAATATCATTCTTTCTAAATCTGTAGCATGTTATGGAGCTCGCATCCCCCCACCTCGCCGAAGAAGACGAAGAACTGTGGCTTGAGCTCATTAAACGGGACATTCCTGAGTGGGAAAAGTACCACCTCCCGGATAGTACCAACAACTGGTATGGGGTTTACTGTGATCTCCGCGACCAAGTCCAACGTTCTCTTGATGCCGATGCGGAGAGAATGAAGATGGCGATTGACGGCATCAGTGCAAAGCGTGCACTCCTCACCCCCAAACTCATACCCGAGAGCAAGGGCTTGCGCATGGCCGGATCCCGACCGTCTGTGCGACAGCGTCATGCTCCATATGATCGCAGGATAGGCGGTGGTGTTGAAAAGAAGCCTAGTATCTTCCAGCCGCAGAAACGCAACACTGCGCTGACGATGCCTACCAAGTCCCTCAACAACCGTGCGTCGCAAGTTAAGCGTGCACCGATCGGTCTGGTCGAAGAACACCGCCGCCCCGCCGAGCAGCCGGCACCACAGCCGATATCAAAGGCGCAACCTCTTCCCCCACGAATCAGCCGGCGGCCCGGCATGCTTCCACCCTCACTTCAGCACCCCATGCTCGGCAAGAATGAGGCGCGACTACGCGCACTGACTTCCACCGCCTCCACCGCCTCACCCCGTGGTGCATCCAATGGCGATTCGTCTAGCGTAAAGAAGTCGCCAGCTGTGGCCACTGAGCCCATGCCTAAGCTGAAGGGCCGTCCGACCTCCCCCCTTCGTGGTGCCGAGACACCCTCTTCTTCTTATTCTTCTTCATCTTCATCTCTTCCCGCCTCTCACACCTCTTCTCTCCCCTCCTCCCGCCCACCTTCCTCCGGGCCTCCTCTTTCCCGCCCGGGCGTTATTCGTCGGCGCCCGGCGCCGAGCATTTTCATGCCGGCAAAGCGACGACATTTATCGTGATATTTGGATCACTTTGATTCATATGCTCATATGCTCTCCGAAAGGAGGCCCTCTACGTATATACCTATGTGGGACATAGGTAGTCTAGGCTCGTTCTGATACCCGGGGTGGGATTCACCCCACTTGCGATTCACTCGGTGGTAATTTTTTATAAAAGGTATTAACTAAAATTACATTCTTATTCACAACTCCGGCTCTGTTTATCAGGTTGATATGGGCCCTGATTTTCCAATGCTACAAGCTATATCCCTCTCTTCAACAATGCGAATGACTTAGGCGTACAAAAGACTGGAAATCCTTCGACTTTCTCAAGTTGAGCTATTTCGGAGAGTGCAACCAAGGCTGCTGGTCGCACCTATTGTGTTCAGAACTCAGTCAGCTAGGCTATTTTACAACATCTTTCAGGGCTTCATTTCAAAACATAGTAAGCGGTACTGATGTCTTTATCCCGCCGCATAGCGCGAATATACTGAAGTAGATCTACAAAGCCCGGAAGTAGTGTCAAGATGGGTATAGCAAAACCAAGCCAGTCCATGAAAGGAGCTTAGGTCCTTGAGGAAAAAAAAGAGGACATTAATAAATGAAAATCATTCAACCCAGAACACCCAGTATGCAACTACCTTTCCATTTAAGCTCAAATCCCATTGCTCCGCCGCGGTCCCTGCAGTTCGAATCCTCGCAAAATGGGATGCGGGATGGAAAAGCACTAGTTCCTCAACTGATTAACATTGCTGCAGAAATGTGGTATCTAAAAATGACAAAAAGATGTTACACCAACATCGCAGCGCATCCTCCACGCAGAGCGAGCACGAGGTGGAGCGTGGCGCCACCTTCGAGGTTATATTCTGAGGCTGTCTTGTCGTCCGCCCTATTAATGAAAAGTTGTCAGCTTGGGTTTGTTCGAGTAGGGGGAAATAACTGAGTGAGTGGTTTCTTACATCTGCTTGCCGCCGAAGATGAGTCGTTGCTGGACCGGAGGAATTCCCTCCTTCTCCTCAACACGCTCCTTTATCCGGGAGACCTGAATAGAACCGTCCGTATCAGTATAGGCGCATTCAGAGGGCGTTGATGCAGCGGGGTTTGTGGGTGTTGATTCGGTAGAACGCTAGAGTGGTTCCGTGCGGGGAGGAGCCGGAAATGCCTCAAGGCGGGTGGTTTACCTTGTAGTCAGGCTCGATATCGAGCTCGATCTCCTTGCCAGTGAGAGTTCGGACCCTGTTTGGACGCGAAATGTCAGCATGCAAGTCTAGGGGTGAGTGGCCTTTCACATTTTGGGGTCATTCGATGATGCAATGGTATGGACATGCTGGAGCTGAGAAACGCACTTGATCAACATATTGAAGCGTCGGTGGCTTTTTTCGGTGGTTTGGATAGTAGTAATGGAGCAAGGTATATGTCGGCTGCAATGTAGTTGGAGGTACAGCTCTTGTCAATGAGTGTTTAGAGAGGAGATGTGAGCCCGGCGGGGTTTTGGTGGGGGCCTGTGGCCTTATTGCCTGATTGCGTCGGAGCCTCACTTTGGCTTGCGACAATGTAACTATGTAGTTATACGATTTGATGTAGAGAACATAACTAGGATATTTTGAGAACGATGAGATATCTTACTATGTTTTTTTTGATTCGGACACCGTTTTCGAAGATGAGTTGAGCTTCAGAGTTCAGAAATATATAATGAAAAGAAAAATATATTTACTGACTAGCGATTGATTCGCGAACTATAATCCTTTTCACCGTCTATTATTACCCCTTGATAGCCAGAAAGTCGATAGTATAGATTTCCACTTCTTATGTGCATGCAGTTTTACCCCAACTACCCCGCTGAAACAGGCTAGAATCACGATTCACTAGTCAACCGGAGTCCAACCCCCAAAAAATGGCCAATGAACCCGGGCAAATTGCGAAAGCGGAGAATCAATTCCAGCAATTGATCACTGTTTCTGAGAATGACCCGGTAAGCTTAAGTCTTTAATTCTCAACAGCCAAATGCTGAGAGTCCCACCCAGAAACGATTGCAACTTGCCTATGAGGTCCATAGAAGCAATAGAAATGCCCTTTTCAGAAGCCAAATTTGCCAGAAAGGATTCTGTGAATGGAACGAGGATGATATCCTGTCCAAAGTGCTCGAGGCAGAGAAGGGGTTGACAGACTACGTTGACCCGAGACACAACCTTGCCTTTTGGGCACGCCCGCCACAGCATATTCGGGATTTGGTCTACAAGATCCAGCAGGAGATTGGTACCTTGATTGGACCTGGTGTGTGCGATGCATAACCCATGGAAAATACAAAGAGACTGTTCTAACTGTGATTCTACAACACAGGTCTCTGGCTTGTACCCCCGCATCATCTGCACATGACCACGCTCGAGATCAGGTCTGCACTCAGGGGACCTGAAATTGATGAGATTACTTCTTCTCTCAAGATGAGCGGGGTCGTAGCAGAGCTGGCAAACTACACTCTCACCCACCGTGCCCGGTTGGTCAAGCCAGTAATCAGCTACGATACTTCTGCTATTGCTTTGAGCTTTGTTCCCGCGGCTGGCGAGGAAGATATCAGTGATTATAGTGGGAAACATGATCAATTCACATATCATCATCTGCGAAGCGATCTTTACAACATCGTGACTGAATCTGGTTGTCCAATCGCGGCTAGATATACCGTACCTTCTGCGCATATCACTATTGCGCGCTTTATTGCGCCTGGTGGCCCCAAAGAAATAAAGCCGGATTCCCCAGAAGAATTTGAGAAGAAAAAGTTTCAACTTATTGATAGGATCGAGGATCTCAATCATGAACTCCGCTCAAATATGTGGAGGAGATTGGGGGACCCGTCTCAAGGGCAATGGGTGATAGGTCATGAGAAGGGGTTGGAATTGATCAAAGGCAGGAGTTGGTATGGACTAGGGGATAGTATTGTACTTGGAGAAGGGTTTGTATAGCAGAATACAAGATGTGTGCTGAGAATCAACTCCAAACTCCAAAACACGTTTGAGATCAGTGAGATCAGTAAAGCCTCAGGCATCAACATTATAAATGACTCAGCATACTCTTCTTGGCGACTCCTAAAAGGGTTAGCGCCTACCCGATAGGGCCTAAGCGAGTGAAATCCCACAACCCAACAATCGCACTTGCTCTCCTCCGACAAGCGACAATCCAACGACCACCACCCAGCTATCCGGCCAAGTCAGTCAAAATGGTAAGGATACACCCTACGAGATATGTCAAGTGTTCCGCAAGCCCCGGCCATTCGAAGTTGCTCGAGTCGTGGAGAGAATGTGTGATGTCTACTGTGCGGCCAACCTCGAAATCGTCAATTCCTTCGCCGACCGTCGTGAATCACCACATTATGAACTACCCAACCGTCTGTTTTTCACCGGATTCACTGCAGGATGCAATGTAAAAGTTGGCATCGAAGAGGAAATTGGCGGCGAAACCTGCAAGAACAACACTGGGTGATGAAATTCAGGACTCAGGAAGCAGATCACAATGGGTGCACCCCGCCATCCTTTATTCAACCGCACTTTCTACTCCTTGAAAACTACAAACTGGACAACACGACCTATCTCTTTGCGACCGCACTAATTTCGAATCGGACTTCGGGGCACGAATCACATTGACATTGATCTTGTTCGCACAATCAGACCAGAAAGACAAAAGCTCATGACATCTCTCCGCACAGGTCAACATTCCCAAAACCCGCCGGACGTACTGCAAGTCCAAGGAGTGCCACAAGCACCAACAGCACAAGGTCACCCAGTACAAGGCTGGCAAGGTTAGTGCCCTCGACACCGGAATGGTAGTCGTGAGCTATCGCTGATGATGTCATCCTTTGTGATTTAGGCCTCCCTCTTCGCCCAGGGTAAGCGCCGTTACGACCGGAAGCAGAGTGGTTACGGTGGTCAGACCAAGCCCGTCTTCCACAAGAAGGCCAAGACCACCAAGAAGGTCGTCCTGCGTCTCGAGTGTACTGCTTGCAAGGCCAAGAAGCAACTCGCCCTGAAGCGCTGCAAGCACTTCGAGTTGGGGTATGTTACATCTACATATTGCTTGACTGTTTCGCTATACAGTGCTGACATGCCTTTTTCTTTTACAGTGGTGACAAGAAGACCAAGGGTGCTGCCCTTGTTTTCTAGATTGTTCAGTTTCCTTGTTCGGCTTCTGGGTTTTCTGCATTGCACAAAGTGCTTCGCTGTTTTTGCGGAGCATATATGACATTGGCAATGGAAAAATGAAATAGGAATTTAACTATTCAAAATCACCATCTATGACTACCGGATTATGAGTTGTTGAATAATTATTCTTGCTTCACAGTAGAGCTGCTAGTACCCTCATCAGCGGTGATACACTTTATCCCCCACGCGTTGCTGTTCATTGTGCTCTTGGATGTTCACTCAAATATTCCCCATGTTCCCCATGTAGAGTTCTCGGCGTGGGTTACAAAGTATATCCCCCCAATTCTTGCCAAGACTCCCTTTATGGGTCCACTCTTATGCGTGGAGTATCTCGTGAGACTTATCAAAGTCCCATGCCTCGCTTCATTTACCCCCGAGTTTTCTAGTTAGCTTACTGACGGTTTGTCAAAGAGATATTCGGAAACCACTAGTCACTGATGGACTACACTCTGCACAATCATCAGGGTCTCCCCGAACACTTGATAAGGTCCTCCTGGGCGACATATTTCAGTCCACGTATATTCCCAAAGGAAGCAAAATATACCATCCGAGCTTAGCAGAATCAAGGCGAGAAAACACCGAAGGGCGAGACTCGAGGGGGTTGCCAAGAACCCGGTTCTCAAGAATCCTCCATTTCATACGGACCGGGAGTCGTTATACCGAAACTGAGAGAATGTGATATGAAGATGCAGATCTTCACCGAGGACACCAACCCCGTATTCTGGGGGACCAAACGAGAGCCTCGAACCAGCCATCTTCCAATCTTGCGAGACTCAACGGCTCAAAACATGCCAATGGCCCTGAAAAGTTCTTTGTAGTGGAGACTCCTCGTATCCACGGCCTACCCCAGTTTCCCCGCTTCCCCAGAAATTGTTTTCCTCGGCCCTCCTCCGAGTATAGGCGTATGTGTCGTCTGTCACTTGTCTGTCTGCTGTGTAATGCATCCTCGGCCCATCGGATATAGCCCGGCTTGCTCCTGTGAGAGATCAAGTAATATACCGGGGGTAGTTCTTGTTTCTAGTTCTTGGATATCCACGTACTCTCTTCTCTTCTCTTCTCTTCCCTATCTGATCCTGCGGAGAATCTAGAATTATTCAAGATGGCGATGTGGTATTCGCTGGGTATTGCTTTCTTTGCTGCTATAGGCACGTTCTTGTTTGTAAGTTGATTTCTTCTTCCAAGATCAGTTGGTCTTGGACCGTGTACAACCACGAAGTTGACTTCAATGAATAGGGGTTCGATACTGGTATTGCCACAACTAGTGAGTTATTATCCACAAATTCTAGCTTTGCAACTCAAACTAAGGATTTACTAGCGATTGCCCACCAAAGCTGGATTGATTATATGCAAAAGCCATCAAATGGCGTCACAGGAGCTGTATGTTCACCCAGCCATTTAACCTCCACCCCAACGGAACAGACCCAGAGACTGACCATCTTAGGTTGTGGCCGTGTACATCGCCGGTGAAGCCGTCGGCGCCCTAACACAAACATTCATCGGCGACCGACTCGGTCGAATCCGCTTCATGCAAATGATGTGCGTGATCGTGACAATCGGCACCATCATCCAAACCGCCTCCGTCAACATCGGCATGTTCCTCGCCGGCCGTGTGCTAGCCGGGTTCGCAGTAGGGTAAGCCACCCATACTCTTCACCAGATCTATAAACGAAATTAACATCCCCCTAAGTGGCCTGGTTGCAACAGTCCCAATCTACCTGAGTGAAATATCGGATCCAAGATACCGCGGTCTGATCGGCGGTATTTCCGGCTGTGGCATCTCATTCGGAACAATGATGTCGAACTGGGTCGGCTACGCCTGCAGCTACGCTCCCTACGGCCCCATACAATGGCGGCTGCCTCTGGGAATCCAAATTCCTTGGGGAATTATCATGTTCATTGGTCTTTCGACTTTCATGCCTAACTCGCCGCGACAGCTGATTCGCCAGGGGAAGATTGACCTTGCGCGTAGCGAGTTTGCGCGCATTCGGCGTGGTATTGTGTTGCATGATATGGAGGAGGAGTTTGGGCTTATGAAGGCGCAGATTGAGTATGAGATGGAGAGGGAGATGACTTCTTTGCGGGATATCTTTAAACTTTTCAGACATCGGGTGCTTGTGTGAGTTTGTTTATTTCTTGTTTGGTTGCATTTGAGATTTCTGGAACTAACTTGGATGTTTAGCTCTATCGCTGTGCAGACGATGACGAGTTTGACAGGTGTCAATGTCATTCAGTATTATCAAAGTGAGTTCAGGGTGTGAGCGCCGAAGCGGGAATTATTGGGATGTTAATATATCTCTCAGCTATTCTGTACAAGGGCCTTGGAATCGGGTCACACACGATCCTCGCTCTGGCTGCAGTCTACGGTACCATCGCCTTTTTGTCCAATTCGGTCACTACAATGTACATGACCGACCAATGGGGACGTCGGAAGTAAGTATATTCCCTGGGTTATCATGTCGCATGCCTGCTGCTAACCGTCTACAGGATGCTGATCACCGGATTGGCTGGTATTGTCCTGATCGAAATCTACGCCGCGGTGATGCAGAGAGAGTTCCAGAATACAGACAACCACATCGGAAAGGGTTTCGCGATTCTCGGAATTTACCTCTTTGTGGTTTGCTATTGTAAGGACTCGGACCATGGCTGCAAGAAATTATCTAACGTGGGGGTTTTTCTTCTTCTTAGATGGCATGCTCAACAGTACTACTTGGCTGTATGGCGCCGAGGTTCTTCCTATTGCTCTCCGCAGCAAGGTGATGGGTCTTGCCGCCGCATCTCATTTTATCGTTAATGTTGGCAGTAAGCCTGAAATCTATTCTTGTGAAAGATAGTCTATATATGCAATTGCTAACCTCTTCATCCGAAAATAGTCACCGAAGCTGGACCCAGTGCTTTTGCCAATATCCACGAGAACTACTACTACGTCTTTGTAGTCTGCTCTGCATTCTTCTTGGTGATCGCTTACTTTTACTTCCCGTAAGTCGCTAATATATTTCCCTTCAACTTGTTTCATCGGAGACGAAGAGAAAGAGATCAAAAGAATTTAAGAGGCTAACCTTGTCCAGGGAAACCAAGCAAAAGACTCTCGAAGAAGTGGCTGCTGCGTTCGGTGACCGGGTTGTGGCTCAGGACGAGGGACCTAAGCGTGCACTTAGTGTGGTTGGCGAGACACAGCACATTGAATCTAGCCATGTATCGACGCATGAAACAGCAAAGGCAGTCTGAACTCCCTGCCTTAGCAGGGCTTCGGGGAGATTATCCAGGCGCTTATACAAATGCCATCTCAACCGTAATCCCAGAAGTGCACATTTATTCAAATATTCTTCACTTTGTTGCAAGTAGCAGAATTCCAACCCCTTTCTTCTGACTGGATATTAAATTTGTGGCTTTTGTAATTTACCCAGAAACAATTGTTGGGCTGAAGTATTTAAATTAAAAAGCAAAGCAAGAACTTGTGGAACGCAGCTCGTGTCTTGCCCCCGTTTCAGCCTTGGGTTCCCCACCAGACGCATGGGGAACTAAAACAGATCAGACTTACAAAGTAATTCGCCGTTTACCATTCGCCGTTCGACCGATGATGAGTATGCAGAATTACATGCTGTCATTGTCGGTCTAGCCGGTAATATAATATTGACATTCCTACGACATAGTTGTCGAATCCTGCCTAAACAGCATATTATTGCCTCAGAAACTCTATCGCCACGCGTCGGGATGATCTCTACCGATGATCAAAGCTGCATAACCCACAATCCGGAGGAATAGCCGGAACTACGGGTGATTATTTGCAACAGTTGGCTCTTCTAGATGCTTCCCGATATCCGGGACTGTTTGCCACGTACTTTTGGTTTGACTTCCATTCTTTATTTTGAAGTGTCCATGTAGTGTTTTTTTTTGGCTCTTTCTTTTCTAGCTAGTTCACCGGATTGCCCCGGAGTCAACCTGGAAGCCGGCAGTTTTTACTGCAAAGTGACTATGTATAAAGTAGTTGAACGTTAAAGTTATCGGATTCCCGAGAGACAGGAACACGAGGGAGGGTCCGAGCCCACAGACGATCCTTCGCACAATGGGAATATGGAATTGGAGAGCCGCAGGAAGGGCTCTTTACTATAACAATATTCTAGTGCGTTCCATTAAATGATCTTATATCAGGCGAATATTCTAAGCAACAGCAAAATGGAGTGATTCTTGGTAAAATCACAACGAAGCCAGTCTCTCCGTGGGTCCTATAGAAATTAAGGAAAAATAAACAATTCAACGCTCACACGAACCACTAGAACTGACATTGATATCTCCGAGCTGAAAAGTTCAGAATTTTCACGTTTATGGAGTCCCTCCAGGGTTGTTCTAAGTATGGCGCACTACCGCTAGACAGGGATTGTCGTCATGGCGCATGTGGCTGAGGAAAGCCACACTAACCCCTCGTGGCCATATTCGCGCCGATCTTTACGAAAAGCCGAGTGCAAGGGGAAATGATCGGCAGGCTGAGTGGCTTAGCCCCGTTTAGTGGCAACGGCACATCTCGGTCTGAACGAGTTATCCCTATGATCCACGTATGATGGTATCGTACACATACAACATACACACTTCACTTCCATCGTAGTATCTTCGTACTTTCTTCGGTGCTAAGCAATGTGTTCCTCAAAGGGCCGACATGGGTGTCGGCCCGAAACCATGGTTTATAGGTGTATCAAAGCCCTATTAGGACTAAGCGGTCCCGGTGGTCTGTTACGGTCTATACTGTATTTTGTTAGTAGCATCGGAGGTACATATCCGCTGAACTCTCTGATCGTGGACCCTTCCCACCCTTATAGAAGGGTTTCATACATCGGTCTCCCCGTAAAAGGAATGTTGTCACCTCCAGGGCTGTCGAACCCTAGACCTTTTTGGTAATAATTATATTTATTATTTTCTGCTCGGCCGACATCTCCAAGACAGGGGCAAATAAGTATGCCGCTAATATTCACACGCATCCCCATGTGGCTTCCCCAAAAAAGGTTGCCTCCTATTACAAATTGGATCGGGCTGAAGTATAGAAGACTGCGATAATCCGCTGTTTATCTCAACTCTGACAACATCAATATCCCCCGCTCATCCATTGTGGGTTCTCATTCCCTATTTTCTTATGGACCCATGAACAGACGACAACCAATCGATCCATACCCACAACATATATTGCGAAGTACCCCTTTTTGAAACCGGCCGTTCGATTTTCCTGAGAGGCAGCTCCTCTTCGCTCTATAATCTCACACTCTCTCCAATCCCCTCAGACGACGAGGTGATTGCGCTTGCTTCAGTCCAGCGCATCCTTGACCTCACTTCCCAATCTATGGCCTCATCCCGTTTGACAGGCAAGCGCCTCCCCATCAGCTGTCAGGCCTGCCGAATACGAAAGATCAGATGCTCGCGCGACGGCCGGCCATGCCAAACATGCGTGCGGCGCGGTCTAGGCGCTGAAGACTGCATCTACCTCGGCCAGCCGCGGCTCTCAACTGAGCAGTCCTCGCCCGGTGACAGCACTGTGCAGAACGAACTGCTAGCACGAATTCGGAATCTAGAAGCCTTGCTCCAGAAGCAGATGACCTCGCATGCTGGCACGCCCACTGGTGGCGCAGTCTCGCCACTGGGTGGGACGAGTGCAGCGGGTAGTTTCTCGGAGCCTGAGACATGGGACTCGCTCGGCCCCATGTTGGATAATGTTGGCACACTTCGTACTTCGCCTTCTGGTCATGTCCGCTATGTGCCACTAGCTTCGCAGTGGGAGTCTCTAGTGGCGAATAGCCCCGCCGCGGAGTGTTTACCGAATTTAGATTCGGATCTCGCGGAGGATGACGATGATTTGCAGATCCCGTTGGCGAGGAATGGAAGTATATCCCGTGCTGAGCTATTGTCGATTCTGCCACCTGGCCGGTATTGTGATACCCTCAAGGATGTTTATTTTCAGGTCTTTTCCTCGGTATGTCATATGAAAGAAATGGGGGAACGCTAGCTGATAACACATTAGGTTTTCCATATTCTTCACGATCTGACGTTCGAAGCCGAGTATCAGCATTTCTGTCATGATCCTGGCAGTGTGTCTACATCATGGCTGGCTTTGCTATTCGCCATTCTTGCTATCGCCATAAGCGCGCTCGATGATGACCATCCTCTACTGTCAGATCTAGGGCGAGAGCGAACGGTCAGCCGAAATATCAAAGTGCTGTCAGCACGATATCGATCTGCTGCGTTGCGGTGCCTCGCCGCCGATGGTGTGATGTCCCGACATTCGATCAACTCATTACAAGCTTTAGTTCTTATAAATTACGCCCGAATTCACCGCGGTCTACCGATCTGGACAATGCTAGGATTCACACATCATGTTGCAATATCAATGGGTTGCCATTTAGACCCAGATCGTTTTACCCTCGGGCCAATCGAGCGAGAAGAGCGACGACGGGTCTGGGCCGGACTAATGATGCTCTATACCATCCAAAACACAGCATTTGGGAGCCTCGACCAGCAGGCTCTAACGCAAGACGTAAAACTGCCCGCAGACATCGACGACGTTGATCTGCTCACCAGCCCAAACCTAAAAAGACCAGCACCTTCAACATTCCCCCGCCCAACACAGGTGACCTACCTCCTGTTGAATTTCCGATTATATAAAATCTCCTCGAAGATTTGTGAAACAATATTCAGCTACCCAAATACATCCCGCTTCACAACCTCTCAACTCGAAGCGGAAATTATATCCGTCCGTGAAATGGTCGAGGTTCGCTATACGCTCGATACGAACAATCCTCTACCCATTCACCACCAAGCCAACCACCACATCATATACAGCCAGATCCATCAGCTTCTCCTTCTCCTCCTCCGCCCAAGTCTCTGCCGTTACCTACAAGGCGAGATTACATCTGAAACTTGCTCTACAAGAGCTAAGTGCATCGCTTCCGCCAAGGCTTCACTTTCCATTTTTGAAACTCTCCTCGAAACACAATCGTTCAAGCCCTACAAATGGTATACCAGCGGACTAGGCAGTTTCCACGCGTTCCACGCTGCAGTCACATTGGCTGTCATCCTGCTCATCCCCGAGGGCCAGTCCGAGTACGAAGAGATCAAAGATATACTCGATCGGGCCTTAGATATGTTCGCCTCGCTCTCAGTCCGCAGCGTCTTCTGCAGCAAGGCTGTTCCCATAATTCGACAGATGATGTATGTCCAAGTTACACCCCGCCCTTACCTAGATTCTCCCCTGGACTAGTGACTAACATACAAACTAGCGATGTTGCCTCAACGAAATACAACCCGCAATCACCTACCCACTCTCAATCCCACCTCCAAGCCCAGGCCCAGGCCCAGGCCCAGGCTCAAGTCCAAGCCCAAGTCCAACTCCAACAAAACCAAGCCAATATTCAATCCCAGTCCCACGCTCACCTCCTACCAAGCATCCAAATGCCCCTCTCAATGTCAAACCTCCCCCAGGGAATGACAATGCAGGACAGCTATAACATCTCGCATCCACACTCGCAATCCGGATCGCCGGTGCCAACTATTGCATCGATCTCCAGTGATCACACCATGCATTCCGGTTTCGGTCAGATGCATCCTCAAAATTGGATCGGTCCTACTTCTGTTCCATGGGATACGTTAGGGTCTGGTACTGGAGGGCATGGGTTTGATTAAATATGTGATGAGATGATGACTATTTGAATTTCATGGTTTGGGCCTAGGAGTTGGATTTTGGCGGCATACTGGATGGAATTAATATTTAGGTCATGAGGCATATGAGCAATGAAGTGATGGAAAGAAAAGAGTTTCAATCAGCTATATCTCTAACCACAATAATTCTATTTATAATGTAATAATTTCAAAGCAACCCATTCTCAACCCCGCTGAGATACCTAGGGCTTCTCTCCAACCCCAGGAGCCCCCCAAGACTTCCGCTGCATAATAGCAAATCCCACCGCATCCTTCCCATCAACAGGAGGGTTGCATACCATAAGCTCCATATCCATAACCTTCTCATAAAACGGCACCGACCGTTTCCAATCTCTAGTAAGCAGCAGCGATCTCCGAAGATAGGGCATTGTCTCGATAACCTCCTGCACACAGCTTACAAGCCAAGTTCCCAGGCCTCGGCCCTGGAGCGAGGTAAGTACAAAGACATCCGTCAAAAAGAGAAATGTTGTGTAGTCTGTTACGCAGCGGGCAAAGCCGACGAATTCGATTGTGGAGTCTGCCAATGCGTCGTTCTCTGGTGTCTTGACTGACTGGCTTAAGGTTTGGTCTGGATCATGGTACAGCCCGAAGCAGAGGGAGTTCTGCAATGTTTCGCGCAAAGCGGACTCCGGCATTGGCTTTGCCCAGTAGAACTCTTCGCCAGCGTACCAGGTGTTTAGAGTTTTGATAGGGATTCGGGATACGTCGGTTGAGACTACGTATTCTCCCTTTGTCCAGCATTCTGGTTGGTCTCGTAGTTCTGATGTTGAAGAGGACATTTTGAATCCTGCGGTAGATGTTAGTGTGTTGTAGGGTAGAAGAGGCCATCAGTGTTAGGGCTCACTATCTAGGCAGCTCCGTGGGCGGACTTGGTGTAAATTGATAAATTGGCAGATCACTTCGATAGATGCGAGCTACATATGTCGAAAATTTCTAGTGGATGTGAAGAGTCAAAAAACGATAGAGAGGGGATGTTCTGTGACTCACATGAAGTCGTACACATAATCTTGCCAAGACAGGGTTAGTTCGTAATCTGCGTATCTTTTAACTGTTTAACGGAGTTTTTACGTATATTTCTAATGTTACTACTTATCAAAGGCGCATTCTAGTGCCATTGGGAGCTGAGTGACTGTCGGCCGAGCCCCACTCATTGACAACTTCGGAACATAAATCACGACAATGAGGATGATATGATATACAGGGTAGAAACTACATAAGAGACATTATATTTTTTTGAATTGACTGCATCACCCATTGTGACATGAGAACCCCAAGGCTTATTCGTAGAAAACTAGACATCGAACTTCAATGCTCTGCCTCCCGGGCGATCCAGCAGGAGTCTGCGGGTCAATAAATGCAGTATGTCCGGACCCATGAGCAATATCCGTCTTGCCCCCAGTCATAGTGTGGCTTCTCGAATCGAAACACTTGATGAACATGACTTCCTCGGGTGTCATATCTTTGGCGTAAAAGAAACGATGTTCCTGATTAGGAGCGATAGCATAAGTCTCTCCCTTGACCTCATACCCATCCGTAGAGAAAAATGACTCAGAATCAGGCGCTACCTCTCCATGCTCCTGCCACTCCTTCGGATAAAGAAGATCAACTTTGACAAAATCAGAAGGAGCAATGCTTCTCCAATCGATCAGCGCCAACGGGAAATCAGAAGCTGGATTTTCAATCGGACGCCAGACATTGATAATCTGGTATCGACCCTTCAACAGCTCCTCTACTTCATCCTCTGGCAGGTGGCGACGTACTCTCGCCTCGGCAGCTTTGGGCGTTTGGTCCACGTGCACCAGCTGCACAGGACTACGCGCCGAGCCCGGCACCCGGCGCCGGATGGTATGGTCGAAGATCGCTACTTTTTTCACCCCGGGCAGTTTCTTGCGCAGCAGGTCTTCTACTTCTGGGTAGTAACCCGCTCGCACTTCAGCATCGTCGGTGAATGCGGTCTCCTTTGCGGGTGACTTGTATAAGGCGAAACCGGAATTGTCTGTTGTGAAGTTCGATTCTTGGCCTCGGAGGTCCTCGACTTTTCGTTCCAGTTCTGTGAGTTGGTAGGACCGACCTGGTCCGTCGACTTTGCCCCATGGCTTTTTGAATGGCTCTGTGGCATCAGGGTCGTAGGAAGCTCGGTCGATGTATCTGAATGCTGCTGTCGTCATTTTATAATGTTTTGTGTGTCGATGGTTTTATATCAAAGGGTTTGTGTGATGTCGAGGTTGTTGGGTTTTGCTTTCCTCGCGATGGGAGTAGTGGGATGTTGAACCCGGTGCGGATGAGAGGGAATGTATTTCACAGTACGAGGATACTGCTATGTGACAAGTTAGAAACAAAAGGGGCTTTTTTGAAAAAAAAAATAAGCGATGTATATATATATAAGCGACGAAGCACGAGGGGCGGTTAGATTGGAAATCCAGATATGATTATTAATTGTTTTTCATGGCGGGGCGGAGACATTTGTAGATGGCATCATCGACAGTTACCCCGATTATCGATGTAAGAAGAAAATTGGAATCTTCTAAACAGTCACGTTGGATGAGTCCTCAGGTACCCCGGGTTCAAAAATCAAACATATATTAAAAAGGGTATAGTCTATAGATACAATTAATCTGGTCCATCGCGTGGTGATACTTAACAAACATTGCGTGCCAATATAAGGTATCAACACGTGATATATACCGACCTTCCTCTTTCGGAAGCATATTGTCCCTGCTTCATGCAGCATTCTCCCTTGCGAAGACATAGCTGATGATCAAGTGCCTATAATAAAGTTAGATATAAAAAGATATCTCCATATGCCTAGACAGGTACATATACAATAAGGGTGAGTTAGTTTGACATCTATACTTTACAGATAGAGATGAGTTATTCTTGATCGAAGACTTCACCCCCGCATCTATACAAGCTTGTACATGTATGTTGTATTATTTGGATATTCTCCGAATGCTACATTGTGTCACGTGCTACCTGGTCAACCCGCTGCGTTAGGAGCAAAAGACCAGAATTCCAGGACAAAACCCTGGAAATGTACTCACTATATGTAGGATGGACTGACTCGTAAATATCGGACTCTACAAAATAGCCAATCCAACTCATCACCTAAGGTTAACAGCCAATTACTAGCGCGTGAGACTACAGCCGCCATGGGACTTATTTACTATTGGTCAATAACTACGGAGTAGTTAGCACCCCAAATTCTGCCGGTCAAATACTCACCAATTAAAAATGAGAGAGAACGAGCGGTATTACAAATCCAGAAAGCGGTAGCAGTTCCAAGTAGATCAGCCAGAAGCATCAAATGTTACCTTTTGCAATAATCGACTCTGTATGCCGAGCCTTGTCAAAGTCGCTCTTTTAGTCATGCTAGCGTGGGAAAGCCCATGTTGTCTCATTGATGAAATTGCTTGCAACGAACATACCTAGCCAAACAACTCGTGACCTCGTTTTCGAGGGTCATTTGTTCATGCGTTGGCACTTTCGCAGTCTGTGCGAATACTTGGCGTGGTGGTAACTTAGTACTGGTAAATCACCGGCCTCAATGGCGTGAAGTAAAACAATTATATGATGTTGGTACGTCTTTTACGTGATTGAGGTACTTGCCAATCAATCCTAAGTGACCAATCACATATGAGTTATGGGGACGATGCGAAGAGCACCAATCAGGTGCATTTCATATTGGCATTCACCCCCCGCCCTGTGAGATTGTTGATTCATATGACCCCGCAGCCTGATTACTACCACTCCCCATACCCATATCTCTAGACAGAACTCAATCGAGCCGTAAGTTCCGGAGCAACACGTGGAACGGGAGATTGGATTGTTCCGAGGAATGCTAGGGATGTTTGGCTGAATGCAACATATAAGAGAGACATCAGATCCCTTGATTCAGATCTCCCGAAATCAAGCACTCGGCCCAGACTTTGAACCGACCTGTCTCCTTGATTCATGATGAAATCGAGTGCCCTTTTTGGATTGTTGACCTTTGCAGCGGCGATCTCCGCTGATGCAAAGGCTCAGCAACCCTCTTATTCTTCATCTTCCATCACCAATCTGAAAAGCAGGATCAAGAATGTTGTCATCCTGGAAATGGAAAACCGCTCTGTGGACAACCTACTCGGCGGCCAGACTCTCAAGGGACTGGAGAACCCTATCAACAACGGCCCTTTCTGCAACCCGTACAACTTGACCGATACTTCAGCTGGCGAGGTGTGCAGCTCTGCCAAGGACTTTGACTCTGTTCTGGATGATCCTGATCACTCGGTGACTGGGAACAATATTGAGTTTTATGGCACTTTCATCCCAAGCAATGACCACATTGCTCAGGGAATGCTCACTCCTACCCAGCATGGCTTTGTGCATGAGCAGTTACGCAGCTATGGCGACGATGCTGACAAGGCGTACCTGGCCAAGCAAGTCATCAACTACTATATCGAGGACGAGGTGCCGGTAATGACCACGCTGGTGCAGAACTACCTCACCTTCAACCACTGGCATTCGGATCACCCCGGTGTAAGTCCGAGCAAATTTCCTACTCTCTAATTGTCGCGCATAGCTAACATATATAAATAGCCCACCAACCCTAACCGGGCCTTTGTACTCTCAGGCACATCCGCTGGTCACGGTACCAACGATGAGGCCTTCAACCCAGGCGTCCACGGCCTCACCCAACGTTCGATCTTCCAGCAGCTTTCAGAAACCAACCATACCTGGAAGAACTACTACACAAGCCCTAGTATGGTCGATGCCTACTTCTTCGACTGGACCTTCACGAGTGGGAACTCCGACAAAGCAGTCCCCCTGGATAACTTTTATGCCGATGCGGCAGCCGGCACGCTCCCGGAATTCTCTTTCGTTGACCCGTCCTGCTGCGGCGTGGGCACAAACTCCATGCACCCAACCGGTCTCGTCTCTGAAGGCGAAGCCCTCATCAAGAATGTCTACGACGCGGTCCGCTCCAGCCCGCAGTGGGAAGAGACACTATTCATCCTCACCTTTGATGAGACAGGAGGGTTCCACGACCACGTCCCACCCCCGCTGGCTACCCGCCCGGATGACCTGACGTACACTGAGATAGCACCCTCCGGCGAGGAGTATACGTTCTCCTTCGACCGTCTCGGTGGCCGCGTCCCGACGCTCTTGATCTCGCCGTGGGTTTCTAAGGGTCAGGTCGAACAGAAGGGCGTTAACTCGGATGGCGAGGTCGTATCTTACTCTGCTTCTTCGATCCTGCGTACTCTAGGCTACCTCTGGGACTTTGAGCCTTTCACGCCTCGTGTTGGATCCTCGCCTTCGTTCGAGCATCTCATTCAGGACACAGCACGAACCGATACCCCTGTCAGATTGCCTGTACCTAAGGCCTTTAGAAAGACGGAGATCTAGCATAGTACGGTGTTCCTATGTTCATTATGTATAAAGGCTTATCAACGGCCCCACAAGGATATTTGCATTGGTAATCCATGACATCGACACTAGCATTGACAGCCAATTCTGTTCGACACGAAATTCAACAATTATTTCTGCTGTGTGCATTATGGTGCGCACTGTCGCACGTAGATGGTTTCTAGCTAACACTAGGCTGGGGTCTCTCATGAAATGATAAGGGAAAATTTGAATGACTTCCCATAAACTAAAATTGTAACCTGGACTAAAAAATATAGCGGGGTTGAAGAAACGCACTGTCAGGTACATGTCAGGTGGATTGGAGATGCGAGCAAAGGGTGCCAGATGATTTGATCCCCAACGAATTTAAATTGTATGTTGTATTAAAAACCCCGGATGCTACTTTCCTATCGTTTGAAAGTGGATTTCCTCCTTGGTCACGGTGATCACCGTATTACTAGTCATATCGGGTGGTCGATGGGTACTGGCACTGAGATACAACTAAGCCCTCTGTACGGCCTATACTTTTTACCGCCTTTACTATCGTAAATATGAACCTACTCCGTGCTAATTTTTTGGAAGGTTGTAACCTCGACAAAACCTAAAAGACACCGGGGTGTTATATCTAACGCCACTCATACCATGATGAGCAAAAGGTTAATTGTTAAAATTCTCGGTGGACAAAGGCCGATACACGGCCTTGTAAAAATAGCAAGGAAACAATGTTGTGACGAATCCTGACTTTAGCGCTGGTCGCCAACACAGCATATGCAGTACGAGTCTAGGCTTTACCAGTCATCGTTTTGAGCGATGCTGTCGTCATCTGTGACTCGTGGTCTTGAAACATAAGTCTTACAATCGCTGCCTCGGGACTCAATATCTGCCAACGATGATTCTATCTGTTATTGGTTCAACAGGAGGAAACGCAATGTAACTTGTCTCTGTTCCTTTTTTTTTGGCCTCTGCATATAACATAGAGAGACCCACTTAATTTTTTTCTTTCTTTTATACCATTATTGTTCAAACCCCAGGGGCGAAGTACATGATGGACTCAGCCTTCACTACAACATAAGTTGTAGTTACCTACTCCGTACTTGGGTACATAAACAATTAGTTGCCAAGAACGCCCCGCATGACATTGACGTCATCCGCGGGGCTCCCATACGGAAATCAAGACCAGGGCGCTCAGGATTATACGCCTCTTGTTGCCCTCTTATTGGGGATAGTCTTTGTGCTCCCCATATGATGTCACCTCCAGGGCGCCTAGTAGAACGAATCTTCTTTGCTAAGACCCCAATAATCATTTTAAAACGGCAACCTAAAATGCTAACCCGAGATCAAGATTAATCTATAATACAATGTGTGGATTGTAGCTAATCCAGTCGTGCCCTACTGAAACGTTACAGGAAACTGCTCTCATGACTGTGTGCATATAGCGCCGATCCATTCTTAGATGTACCCGTCAATGCAGCAGATGACATTTAGGTGAGGCTGCATCTACCGAAGTAGGATCAATATAAAATTGGGGACCACGGAATCATCCCGAGCCAGCCGAGAGAATCCCGTGGGTTAAGCAGCGGGAAGAACCAAACAATCCAAGTGAGTCTGTTGTAAACAAAATAAAGCCACGGTCTTTGAGTGTTTCGCGTGTTTCGCCACCGTACCCGGGCAAAGATTGCCAAACCCGAGAGAAAGAGCCTCACGTGTCTGGTCTTTTTATCCTCTTGACCTCTTTCCATTTTTATTTCTCCCCTCCATCCTCTCTTTCACATTTTCATCTCGCAGCCTCATTGTTCACTAATTTATCATCTGCCTTTCAAATCCCCATTCCGAGTTATCCGAGGCCAACATACATAGTGCTGCCTGCCGATCATCTAGTCTGAGACTAAGCCGGTTGAGTGCGTGCCAATACATACTCCGCTCTCTGCCCTACAGAACCTGTGGACGGCTCTCATCATTCTGAATCATTATTCAAACCCACTGGGCTTTTACCGGCTTTTATTGGCTTTGATTTATTTGGCCAAGATAACCGTTACCAATCAGAATTAGCCCGAGAGGACTGTACCTACTGGAGTCATCTTCGGCCATTAGTCGATCACATCCTCTCTGCACACCCCCACTTCTCTGCCGCCCCTCCATTCCCTGCAGTACATCTTATTTTCTTTTGCCGTTCATCTTTTACTTCTCGACTCATTTCTCAATTATTTCCCATTTCTCACTACCCTTATTACGTCCATGTCGTACACTTACAGAGAACGCGAACGAGACTGGGATGAAACCCGTCCTGTGTCAATCAAGCGTTACGTCATTTCTCCCGAAGACGACCGTCGAGACTTCATGTCGAGACACGATGACTCCTTTGGCGGCGAGCGCGAGGTGGTGATCCGGCGCAAAACGGATCGTGAAGAGCCTGTGACCGTCTCGCGCTACGAGCGAGAGGTGGAGTATGAGCCACCCACACGCTATGAGAGAGACTATGATTGTGAGTACCCTACATCCCCACACCAATCGACCACACTTCCAATCCATGGATTTCCCTGGACCGAGTGGAGCTGTCCCCTACTGCTACTACCATGTCCACCCCAAAACAACCCGTACTTATTCGTGAAGCCCGCATTTATACTAGTCCCCGTGAATCCGAGTATGATGTCGTGCGCCGCTCTGAGGTGGACGAGGACCCGTATTATTACAACCGTCACCGTCGAGTCCGCGAGTACGACGAAGCTCGCTCCCGGCGTGAGCTGAGCCCTGATGATTCCGTTTCCCAGAGTAGTCGCCGCCACCGCGGCGATCGTGATCAGGACTACAGCAGCGATGACAGTATGGTCTACATCCGAAAGGAAACCCGCGATTATGACGACCACCCTCACCACCGTCGCCATCTCGCAGAGGGTGCATTGGTAGGTGTTGGCGCGGCTGAATTGCTCCGAAACCACAACAAAAAAGATGGCGAAGTCAGCCATGGCGCCAGCCGTATTGGTAGGACTATTGGTGCCGGGGCTCTTGGTGCAGTCGCTGTGAGTGCTGCATCGCATGCTCGTGACTACTACCGTAGTAAGAGCCGTCACCGTTCTCATTCCTTTGAAGATGACCGTTCTTCCCATCGTCACAGCAGACATGGCCGGAGTCGCCACAGCCGCAGCCGCAGCCGCTCTCAATCGCACTCTCGTGCAAAGACTTTGCTCGAGCTGGGAGTTGGTGCCGCAGCCGTGGCTGCTGGTGTGGCTGCACTGCGTAGCAAGTCAAAAGCTGATGAGCGCAAAAGCCGGTCTCGCACTCGCTCCCGTTCTCGGGTTTCTAGCCGTGGTCGCTCGGAGAAGGATGGGGAACAAGGCAAACGCAGCATGTCTGAGCGCCGCAAGCACATGGCTGAGGCTGGATTGGCTGGTGCGGCCGTGGCTGGCCTGGTTGAAAAGGTCCGCAGCCAGTCGCGCTCTCGAAAGGGTGAGCGCTCCCGATCCCGCCTGAGACAAGCTCTTCCCATTGTGGCTGCCGGTCTTGCCACTGCTGCTGCCACCGGTCTCTACGAGAAGCAGAAGAGTGACAAAGATGAAAAGGAGGGCTCGAGCCGGGGCCGCCATCGCTCAAGGTCTCACAGCCGCGCCCCGTCACAGTCCTATCCCGATCCAACTCGCGACTCGGCCGGCCTGATCGAATACGGCAACGACCCAGTCGCAGGTAGCATCCCATCTGAGCATTACTACGGTCAGCCTGATGCGCCCTACTACGATGAACAGGAAGCCTATGGCCCCAGACGCCATCCCCGCAGTCGCAGTCGCAGTCGTAGCCGAGTCCGCTACAGCAGTTCATCCAGTTCTGACGGCGAAGGTCACCGCCGACGGCATCGCAGCCGCTCACGAGACCTCGCGGGGGCCGCACTAGGCGCAACAGGTCTCGGTTATGCCGCCCACAAGTACAACGAGCGTCGCAAGTCCAGAGAGCGCGATCGCGAACACTCCAGTAAGTCCCCACTTCATCAAATTCCTACCGAGAAATATTTACCCTGACTAGTGGTGTAATCAGCGCATGACGACAACGTGCACCGTGATCCTTATGAAGAATCCTACAATCCAGAGCCATACCCGCTTTCCCCGCAGGCGGCCCCAAGTGCCCCGCCCATGCCTGACCCCCACTACTACCCCAGCAACCCCAACCCCAACCCCAACCCCAACCCCAACTACTACCCCCCGCCCCCGGGCGACTCAACCTACAACCTGAACAGCACCCCCGCTTCATACAATCCAGCAGACTACCCTCCACCACCCGGTGCTGCGCCACCTCAGCCTTATGCCTACGGCGCTGCGCCACCAGGACCGGGACCCGAGCAGTACACACATCGGCCGCGTAGGGCTGAAGACAATGTGAGACCCCTACCTATTGATGCAAACCACGCACACAAGGGTGGGTTCGGCGGACCACAACTGTGACTGTATAGAATGTAATCAAAGCTGATCCTTAATCGATAGGTCTGAACATCCACCCATTCCCAACGTCTGCCCCCCGGTCAATTAGCCAACCGCCGAAATCTGTCGCGTTCGACTTGACGGATCCTCCGCACGATCCTGGCTACGAGACCGATGACAGTGACTCTACCGTTGGATCGGGTTCGTCTTCGCATCGCGGAGGTAGAGACCACCGTCACGATCGAGATCGAGATCGAGATCGTGACCGTGACCGTGATAGCCGTCATCATCATCATCGCCGCTCCTCATCCGTGCCCTATCCACCTATGCCCCCTCCTTCTTCTACTGCCTCAGACCGTCACAATTTCTATCCTGATTCTAGTCACCATCGACATCACCCATCAGCCCCGAAACACCACGAGGAAAGAGACCAGAACAAAGCCCCTGAAGCAGACTCCGACTCAACCATCGACCTACCCAGCCGCTTTGATGGGCAAGGCCGCCCTCTTCCCGAGCGGGATCCCGCTGTGGATAAATTTGAGGACCTGGTGAATAGGTTTACCAAGGTTCTGTTCTAGCGGGTCGCTGTGTGGTGTT